CTTCACGGTACTTGGCGTGCTGCGCGCTGCAGCTGCTCCCGCGACCTCCCCTTTCCAGAGGTTGCGGTCAGAGCCAGCTGTTCCGCTCTCGTTCACCCGGCCCGTCACTCGCACGCCGTTGGTCTCCTGCAGTGAGTGTCCTCGCAGACGTTACGGCGATTTACCCTCCCGGGCCTCGCGGGGCGACCCTCTGCGCCGCCGCTGTAACCGAGCCGTGCGTGCTTGCGTCCGTGTGCACGTTACAGCCCGGCTCAGTGATTCAGGCCTCTCTTCAGACTCCTAAAACTCCCCCCCAGGAGGAGCTGATCATTCAGGAGATACTGAATGCGGAAGCTAACGCCCTCCTTTCCCGTTAAGTGGAAACGTGTGTGTGTGTGTGTGTGTGTGTGTGTGTGTGTGTGTGTGTGTGTGTGTGTGCATGCGTCCCATTCTTGCCTTTAAAAGCTTCCCCGCTCTCTGTAAAGAAAAGGCTCCCTTTCTCCTCCGATACTTTTGGCTAATGCTCGTACATGTGTGGCACCAACTGGTTCTCCTCACAAATGCGGTCACACCATATATATATATATATATCGCTTGCAGCAGCGATGCCTGGGGCAGCGTGTCCCTCTTTTGTCTTGTGTGCATTAGACCGCTGGCACCGCCAGAGCCTGAAGAGCCGACGATGTCAACCAGCGCAGGTGCCGCAAAGCGCTAATGCACTGGATGTGGACCAGCATGGAGTAGACTGCCCACACATCCATGTTATCCATCTGTTTCAATTTTGTTTTTAATGTTTTACCATTGTTACCGCTTTCACGGCCGCACGGCGCAGCCAATCAGGACTCAAAGAGGCCACGCTTGGACGAGCAGGAAGAGGATTTTAGATTCAGAGAGTCTCAATGTGATGTGTGGCCATTTTCCTTTGGGGGTTATTGGGATTGAAGTGAAAGGCTGTTGTGTATCCGGTCCACATCACTCTCTATTGTCTGACCTCCCTGATTGGTGTCCTGGGCCTCGTGTCAGTATTCACATCTCACTCTGGACGTCTGACAGGATCCCTCCTCTTTCAGCCTCCTGCTGTTTGTTTGCTTGTCTATACTCTCCAGTTACCCATCAGGCTGCTCTTCACTCGGGTGCAGATGACAACCGCCAGACGGCGGGGCCGATGCACAAAAGCATCCATTGTCACGTGGGCGCCCGGAACCACAAAATGCCGTCTCCATTTCTGAACAGAACGCGACATGAATCTAAACGAAAGTCCCCTCGGTGATCGTGGTAAGACGGAGCCGATTATGGCTCAGTATTCCCGCTTGGATCAAACGAGCGGTCGGACCTGTGGCCGAGCGGTCTGCAGCGTGACAGACGCGCCGTTGTTCCATCGCAGCCTGAGGTCCTTCCCACTGACTCAGCGCGAATAATGGACACTGTATCTCGTGAGCCTCTGAACAATGGCTTATTTGTCGGGTTTCATAATTACGCTCGGACAAGCGGCCGTGTGATGTGTGCGCGCAGCACGTGTTGGGTCTTTATTCTTCTGCTTTGATGTCTGGGTTCAGGTGCTTGCCGAGCGGTTGGTGTCGCCGGGCCGGCTCGAGCTTTTGGGATTTGGGATCAACAAACCGGGAGGAGTTAATGAATGTTGAGACTCTGCTGGGATGTGAACATGAGGAAAACATATTGAATGTATCGCAACATTGAGCGCACAATGACTGCCACAGGACTCATCACGCCATCTCATTGGGATTCTGCTGGCGGTATCAGTTCCACCTCATTTCTGTCATGTCATATGACAATAATAAGCTCCATTCTCATCTGAAGGACTTTTCACGGCCCCGGAAACATCCGGCACCACAGCACTACTGTGAAGTCTGAGGCCCCCTTTTCATTAAAAATCAATATTGTTTTCTGAGAATCGATATGGCAGCACAGCCTGAATATTTACCCACACCTCTGCGTGTCGCCCGTACGTCCTCGCCCGGGTCTGCCTGTAGATCCGCATGCCCCATGTGTTGGTTTGGCTGAGAGCTTTATTAACAAGTAATTGCCGTGCCAGTGTGCCAGCGGAAGGCGTATTGATTGTTGTGAATGCTGGTCCAACAGCAAAGTAGAATGCTGTGTAAACACTCTACCACAGACAACACGATCAGCATGGAGACTTAACATTAGGCTGCTTAATGCTACAACATTAGCGAGCGAGAGAGGCAGAGAGATATTGTTGTTTTAGTCAGAAGCGATACATTTTGTGTTGGTTAATACAGTAACATGGAGCCAAATACAAAAGCGTGATTATTAATTGAGTGAAGATTAACAGCACTTTGTTCCAGCGTGCTGTTCTTGCAGCGCGTAGAGAAATGCGCTCTTGCAGAACGCCTGCAGGTTTTGCCTTCCAAAGCGCCGCGGTTTGGAGTTTGCAGTGCATTAATTCAGCCTATCAGTACAAACATAGTCCCTCCCGGTGCAGCCTGGGAGTCTTAAGTGCTCTGACGCCCGTATGGGCACCGGGTTTCAGATCCCAGACAGGCTATCAGATCCACTCTTTGCAGGACGCAGACTCAGAATCCATTAATCCACTGTACTCCTCCTACTGCTATTAGTCCAAACTGAGTTTCCATTGAACCCTGGCGGGTCACAGTGCGGATAGGATTTGGAGTAATGCAGGGGCATGAATTCTGATATAGTGAACAGTGAACCGACATCACCAGCCAGGGAAGGTGTTTGAGAGCTAAACATCTAAAACACGCAACAGGTAAACTCACGGGGAAGAAACCGATGAACGGCAGCACAGGGGCCGTCAGAAACTGTTATTGAGTTGTTTCTACACTCGGCTGAGCTGGAAAAGTTGGCGTATCAGACAAGAGACGGGAGACTTTCACGACACTGATGATATCGTTACTTATGGAACCTTCCTCTCCGGGCTTTCACGCTGGGTTGCTTTTTATAGAAATAAAAGTGTCTGATAAGGCGAATATACCCTCACACAAGCATTTAATACAGCTATGCATCCAAACATAAGGTTCCATAGATGCAGTATGAACACTGCTGATCTGCCGTAGTTCTGATACGGTCTTACAAATCCTGTTCGTTATGGCTCGACCTTTTCAATTATGTATCTTACTGCAGGGCTTGTATAGTTGTGTCTGTGTCTCTGGAAGTTTCTGGACCATTAGAGCCTTAAATATCTCCTGGATATAGTGTCTGAAATATTTAGATGGTCCTCAATGACATCCAGAAAAAAAAGGAAGAGATAGATTGAGCACTGAAATAAGAACAGAGCGGGTGGGAAAGGATCCTCGCCCCCCCCGAACACACACACACACACACACGCATCAGGTAAACACTGAATGAGAGACGGACGGGATAAAAATGGAGGCAGTGATGGAGGATTATCAAGGACGTAGAAGGGCGTTCGCCGGGAATGGACGTCGTTGGGGGAAGGTTACCAGCAACCAGGAGGCTTTTAATACCCGCTGTTATTTGCAGAGACCGACTCCAGTTGAAGTCATGAGCAGATTTCAGAGACAGTTTCTCATTCTCAACACTACAAAGCGGCCTACGAGGCGCTCTAAATTAGGCGTTACAGTGCAAACGAATACAGCGGCGTACAGATGACAGGCGGCGTTATCGTTCATCAATTCCTTCTCCCACCAGTTCCACTGATACTAATGTGCTAATATGATATGCTGAGAGAAAAGGGAAAACCATCATAGCAGAATAAAGTGTATTCTTTTTCAGAAGTTCTCTTGAGAACACGTAGAGCGTCGCTCCGGCGGACGTCACCTCGGCCTATTTTCCCAGCGAGAATCATATAGATAAAAGGAATATGTGTATTCTACCCGTTCATTAAAAATGCTCAGCGTGTGGACCGTGGCCAGGTTTATCTTCCCATAGAAGTTCGCTGGTTTAAGGCCCGTGGACCGTCTCTAACAGCACATCCCGCTAGAGAGCCTCTGTTTCCCCCTCCGCTCGCGCGACTCTCTCGCTTGTTTTCTGCCCGGTACCCAGCCGACCAATCACAAAGCAGGGCTAGGTGCAAAACACACTTCCTCTGCAGCTGCGCTTTGAGAAAAAAAGGGCTCGCAGCTCCTGAAACCAGATAATTCGACAGCAAAGCGTTCCCTCGGGGCGTTTGCGCATGTATTTCCACCCTCTCTTCCAAAATGCGTGTTGTGAGTGATGGGGATTTAAAAAAAGGGAGAGAGAGTCCAGATCGTTATCCACTTCACATTGGACAGCGGATTTGACAACAAAGCCGGCTGACTGTACAAATGGCTGCGGCACAAGAGATGTACAGTGCACACGCGGCTCCGCTCGCATGCACGGGATTAGTGTCCAAGCCGTCCGCGGAGGGGACTACTAACAGAATGTTCGCACGCATTACACCAGCCATTGACCCGCTGTCTTCCTCGTGTCGGGGGCTTGTTTATGGGCCCTCGCTAGCATATTTAGAACAGAAATATTCCTTATGCTTTACAGTGATTGTAATACATTACTCAGCATTTCATCACAAGGTATCATCCGACATAATCCGAAATAATCATGAAACATGAAAATGTCAAAGATGACGGCCGAGAGTACGTTTATATCACGTGCTGTATATGAATAGTGTAGTGTAACAAATGTGGTCATTAAAAAAACTATTAAGTATTATAATACTGGGCCTTGTAAGTCATTATATAATACTTTATTTTATAAAGCACTGTAAGCAGATTCTAAGTGTTTCTAATTATTTCACTTAATAACAAGTAAGAGTAAGAACAAGTTTAAGAATAAAACTGGCTATTCTTGAATGCTTGTAGAGCTTAATGTTATGGATCAAATACAGTAAGGGGCCGATCTACACATACAGACAGACGTCCCAAACGCCACCGTTAATGATAATCAATGCTTGGAATCGCCTCCTGTTTACAGCCCGGTGGTTCGTTGCATGTTTACATTCTTTCGGGGACGTTTTGCGTTGAAACAGAGAAGCTCCCTCACTGTCTCCACTCGGGCTCAAATCTCTCTCTCTCTCTCTCTCTTAGATCTCATCTGATGCCAAGGCTGAAGGAGTCTCGCTCCCATGAGTCGTTGCTCAGCCCCAGTAGTGCTGTGGAAGCCCTGGACCTAAGCATGGAGGACGAGGTTGTCATCAAGCCGGTTCACAGCAGCATCCTCGGGCAGGACTACTGCTTTGAGGTGAGGAAACACGCGCAGATACAGAACACAAACGCACCAACGCCACGGAACATTCCCCATCCACCGAACTATCTCTGCAGAGCGTTTCAGCGACTTTAAGCTTGTGATTTTGATTTTACGGTTTCTGTTCACATTCGCTTTCGTCGACCTCATTTCTAGATGCAGCAGGAAGTTGTTTTCAGGGAGAAATCTCTTAATTGAATAAAGACTTAAGCTGTAATACTGATTTGTATTCCCGGTTACAACAACAAATCTGATTCACACCCCTGATGGGCTTTTTCTCCAGCAGCTACCAATTATTATTCAGAGCGGTTTTTGGATCATTATTATGTTTTCGATCGTTCACAAAATGGTGCAAAACTACCATTACGATAATAAAAGGAGAAATGAAACAGAAATGTGAAAATGATCTAATCTCCAGCTGCTCCTCTCACTTTACATCTTTAATTAAAAGTCCTGTTCTTGATCAGCTACAGATAAACGCTGTGTTTGTTTTTAGTCGCTGGCTTGGTAAGAAATGATCCTCGGCCAACCAATAAACTGCCTCTTAATCACTGTAGATTTCACGTGTGCCCAAACACACGTTTGCCTGCACGCAGCTGTAACTAGGGAGCCTCGGCGTGACAGAAAGTGGCCGCTCAATCCGGCGCCGTTTACCGTAGAGATCAGAAAAACTGATATAATCGGGCCGATTACATCATTCTCTTTCTTTGTTCCATATTGTTAAACTATCCCGTCATCATCCCGTTCGACGGGGAGTTATCTCTCTCTCTCTCTCTCTCCTCCGCAACCATTCAGTCGTTCTTCAACACAGCCGAGTCGCCCTCATCCTCCTCGTATCGCTGTTTTGTATTGTTTGCTTTGCCGTCAGACTCAAAATGCTATTCAGGAACTAAGTATAGCAAAGCATTGTGTTCCACTTATTCCCCGTTATTGTTAATGCACAGTGTTTGATGTTTAACGCTTTCGGTTCCCTTCTCTCTCTCGTTCTGTGTGCGGCGGCGACAGGTCACCACCTCCACAGGAAGCAAATGTTTTTCTTGCCGTTCGTCAGCCGAGAGAGACAAATGGATGGAGAATCTGCGCAGGGCGGTGCAGCCCAACAAGGTAAACATGCAGTAGGTGGGATTGCCGCTAATGACTTGTGTGCACGAGTGTCTCAAGTCGAAAACGCCGAATGCAACGTGGATTATCAGAGAGGCGTCGAGCTACACGGTGTTGACATCGTGTCGCAATTAGAACAGCGATGCAACCCGACGCCCGGCGACGTCTGGCCCGTCCCGGGGCACCTGGAGGGTCGGAGGACGCAGAGGTTACAGCCCCAGAGTGCTTTCCCCTCGCACATCAATGCCACCTCCCAGACGGGGCACGGGGGAAAGTGGCAGACAAATCAAGCTGAGACAATAGTCGCCATCTCGAGGCGAATTCGTCGCTCCTTCGTCTGTCAGTATTTAGGAAATGAGTCACTAATTAGAAATTTGAAGAAAAATTCCCGTTTGAGTGCACGTTCCCCTCAGCTTCCTTTGGCTGGGACCACGTGTGCGTGTGTGTGTGTGTGTCTGGTTTCGTCTCTGTGCTCTGCAATTTTAATTATTCCCTCATTTAGAAAGATTAGATACGGTGCAATGTGTTTTTTTCGCAAACATAAAAACTGGAGTCAGATTCTTAAATCCTGATTTTTTGCTTTAACTGCTGCGTTTACGCCTCACTGAACAGAACAGATAAGACCACGATTAAGGTAACACATCAATGTGAGCTAAGTGTGCTAACGCTTGTTTATACCAACACCATTTATCCGGCAGACTTCAGGATAAATTAACATTTGACAAACTGTTGATTTTATTTACCCAACGCTTATTTTGCTCCCTTTTATTTCTGTTCTGATCTTCGATGACTGAGTACATGTTGGTCAATAGAGCATCCAGACCGGCACACAGGACTCATCCTGTTGGACTTTTTGGTTCACGGTACGGCATTTGTTACCGTGTCCTTGCCCTGAACTCTCTGCTCTTATCGCTGGTGCTTGGGAGGAGGAAGAAGAAGATCATATGTTAGAAATATTAAATAACAAAGTAAATTAAATTATACTCAGCAATTTCCAAAACCAGCTCGCCAGATATGTAATCAATGTCAATTAAATGAGGTGATCTAAATGCTCAACTCACGTGCAAGTAATAATTATATGTAATCATTTACAGAAGTGTCATATCGCATCATAAAGTTTCATTTCTGATCGAAGGAATTGAGCCCCTCGATTTAGAGAACGGAGTCATTTTTAAATCAACAGGAAAACATTTGGAAAATTGATGACACTACTGAAGTGTTATTAATGCAGCTTATATTGCCTTGACATTTTGCTCCCACTTCATGCAACTATTGAGTGAACCGCACACCATTACGGATAGAGTCATATTCCAGGGCTCAGAAACCCCTCGTGAGGTACAGACAGTGTGATGCATGTAGATTCACAGGAATATATAAAGACATATGAAAAGCCTCCAGACACCGTCTTCAACAGCTTCCTTGTGATTACGAGACGCGCTGGTGTTTGTCTCTAATAACGCCCCGTAAAGATTTTCTCCTCTTTTCTCGTCGTCTTCAGAGGTGAAGAGGTTGTCAACGCAATCTGAATAATGGGCCAAAAATATTTCAATTGATGTCATAAGAGCACTTTGTGAGAATAATGTAGGCGTGGTGCCTCCTAGCTCATTTAAAGACTGCAAGTGCAGGAGGGAAAAGCTTTTAAATTGCTACCATGAAAGTCTCTGAATTGTTGACTTCATTTAAGAGGGCGTAACGTAAAAACCCGGGTTTGCGTCTCCTCCGTTTTCATTTTCATTTTCCAAAGCATCCGTCTAAAAGACCACGTCCTCTCCCTCTCTCCAGGACAACAGTCGCAGGGTGGAGAACCTGCTGAAGCTCTGGATCATCGAGGCCAAGGACCTGCCGGCCAAAAAGAAATACTTCTGCGAGCTGTGCCTGGACGACTCGCTCTACGCCCGCACCACCTGCAAGCTCAAGGCGGACAACGTCTTCTGGGGGGAGCACTTTGAGTTCAACAACCTGCCCGCCGTCAAGAGCATCACCGCCCACCTCTACAAAGACTCGGACAAGAAGAAAAAGAAAGATAAAAACAACTACATCGGACTTGTCAATATCCCCGTCGCCGCGGTCACCGGGCGACAGTTCATGGAGAAGTGGTACGCCGTCAGCACGCCCAACCCGCCAAAGGGCAAGACGTCCGGGCCCATGATCAGGATCAAGGCGCGCTACCAGAGCATGAACATCCTGCCCATGGAGATGTACAAGGAGTTCGCAGAGTACACCACCAACAACTACATGCTGCTCTGCTCGGTGCTCGAGCCGGGGATCAGCGTCAAGAACAAGGAGGAGATGGCGTGCGCCCTGGTCCACATTCTGCAGAGCACCGGCAAGGCCAAGGTTAGTGCAACCAGCGATGGGGGGGGTGGGGTGGGGGGATTTATTTCCGTTTCCCGACCACATTTGTCCCCGCGGGGACGTTATGAATAACAAAACCCGAGAACATCAGACCGTTGTCAGGAGGTGCAGACGAGACGTCACGTGGCGTGCAGAGGTTAACTATTCCTCCGCTGCTCGCTCGTTCCTGTGAACTATTGACCCCCCCCCCCCTCCCTCCCCCCTTTGTCACTGAGCAGACAGAGACCAGACATCGGGGTGATTTCCTCTTGCTGCAACAGCCCCTATTACATTTTTAACTCGAGCTAATCCCCTCCATGAATCCCCTGCAGTGCTTCACGGCATACCGATGCAGGACAGAAGCACAGTGCACATCCAGCGAGCGCGGGGAGATTAGTCTGCCGCAGCAGGAGCTGAGTCCCCCGTGACAGCAGGCTGCTGCACTCAGATAATCTCCCATCAATCTGGGATGACTGTATTACACTTTTACTCTGACAGCACAGGGTTTGTCTTTTTTTTTTTGTGCAGTGAGACAACCGTTGGCATTTTGACCTCACGGGAACATCGGATTGCCCGACAGCCGTCTCATTGGCTGCTGATGAAAATCTCTGGGTTATTTTTTTCCTTCTTTTCTTGCACAAAACGTTGAACTGATCAAATAAGAAAACTATTCATCCATTCATCAGTAATGATAGAACTTCAATAATACTGATTCATCTAAATCCGTTCCCAAAAAACGTTCTTTTCTTTTTGTCCCCGTCTTCACCGCCTCGCCAGTGTTCATTTTCTCGCTAGTATCTCATCAGCAGAGCCTCGAAACTTTCTTTGCCTTTATCTCGGCGGAGTGATGAACGTGCTTAAGGAGGGACGTCCGCCCGCGCCGTCCCTCCAGTCGGCTGGTTGATTGATGCGGCGGGGGCCGCGGGGGGAGAGGGCCTCTGCTGGTCCTCGGAGAGACGGCCACCTCCTTAATCATCCCCAATTAATTAATCCCCACTAAAAGTTTTGCTCCCCGCTGACCTGCGGTTCCTTCCTTTGGGCTGGCGGAGGAGCTGCATGTGAAACGGCGCCGGAGTCGCTGTTTCAAGGTTGCTCATCAATAGATGTACCACGCTGCTGGGGTGAGTCTGTCTTCACAAAAGGCAAGGGGGGGGGGAGAAGAAGAATCCTTTAAATTTCCTCTTCACGGGGCTGTGAATGCAGAAATCCGCTGTCTTCTTTTGAGGAAGAGGCAGACGGAAGCTTTCGAACTGACGTAAACGGGAAGAATTAATGAAAGCTGCTTTCAAAGTGTCAAGCCGCAGTGCTGTTAGCGGCAACCGCTTCCCCCCTGAAAAGACTTTCATCGTTCTAAGACACGATGAAGTGGTCTGACATTAGGCAATACACAATGTTTTTCCTTCCTACATGTTGCATGAGTCACTCCTTTACAATACAGGGGTTAAGTGCCCTGTATTTTCATTACCGACGTTAGTGGGTTGTGTTTTAGGAATTGAGCAAATCACATTCACTTCAGCAAAGAAAATACTCTTTATTGTTTTTCCCTGCAAATGTTTCATAGAGCCTTTAGTTTTTTATCCCTCATTGTTTCCGTTTTTGTCTCAAGTTCAACCCGTGACTCAGTGTTTTCAAGTCTAATCGGCTGTGCAGAGGTGGGAAAATGTCTCTTAATTGCAGGCGGCTATTGTTGAGAGACGTAGATGGAGGGGTTGCAACAGGCATTAGTATGCAACACCTTCGACACTTTGATTTCTTCCTGTGTCATTTCTTCAGCCGTCACCGGATAATTACACCCTTAATATTGTGCTCCGTTGCACACTCGCTCCTTCCCGCTTGTTCTCCCGCGACTCTCCGTCTTTGTCTTGCTCCATCGCTCTTTCGTGCCTCATTGCGTCTTGAGGCCGAAGCTCTCAGGAGAGATGTCATAACGGACGCTGCATTGATGTCTGCATGCGTTGGTGAGCGTGCCGTGCGCGGATGCTAACGTCAATACGCACGCACCTACGCTGTATATCACAAAGATATTAGCAGGTGGTTACAGGTCACTTGTTCCACTTTGTGCGCGAGCAAACAGGCCTGCAGCCTTAGTGAGATATATTTGGCTCTGTGTGGCATGAGGAAAAGGTCAGAAGTGTACACAGCATGGCTGTGGGTGGAAACAGAAACAAATACTCTACTAGTCTACTTCCTCTGTAAACTTGATTTCATTTTATTTTGAAGGGGTAACACATCGGCGGATTTGCAGGCAGGTCCCGACACTTGTTTGTCTCCTCCCGCTGTTGTGTCCCTGTCACAAGCTCCAGGGTAACAACAGCAAACTGCCCGGAGAAATTCACCTCTCCCCCATCCAAAGACATCCGGCCCTGGCACGAATCCTCTGCCTTATCGATCCAGTCTTCTCGACGCCTCACCCCCACGGGAAGATTATGTTCTAATTTTCTCTCCGCGCCCCTCAGCCGCGCTAACTGATTTATCCTGATGACGACTGGCTGGACTCCACACTCATTGTTTTTAAATATTTGTATGTAGTCGCCTCCAACACACGCTGCCATTTCTCTTTTTTCCTGTATTTTTGGCACCGTTTGAGACGACTGGCTGTGGCTGTAATATGACAATTTCCCTCATAAGAGGTGAGCCCTCTCGCCTCTTGTGATGGACTGACATGGATGATTGAGGAGACAGACTAACAGTCTGTGAAGTGTGTTGCAGTGAGATGAAGAGGGCTCGTTGAGAACAGATGTCGGCCAGTCATGAAGCCATATCTGCTGCGTCGGCTCTCATCACATGTAACAAACACAAAGCCCATCAATGCACTTGCTCTCCTCAAAGTCTCCTTTGCAATTTGCACTACCAATGCGTCGTATCTTTTAGAGTGTTTTGTACTGGCAGCGGGATGTTTTTATTGATCACCCGCTGACAGCGGGGGAGGAGAGGTGAAACGGAGGAGGCTGAAGGCAACGACAAGGAGGCAAAGAGGGGGAAAGCGTTTTAGCAGCATCGGTGGCGCCGGACAGAGAGAAACATTTGGAAGCTCCTTGACGTCTGTGTTGACTGTCTCCCTCAGTCCCTGGTCTTTTCTCTCACTTTCATTCTCACCGACTCTTTAACTTTCATGAGTGGTTCAACCAGAGTTCAACATGTCAGCATCGGCCCAGGATAATGTTCAACTTTGCTACAGCAGTTTTGTACCTGCTCACTTTTAATGTACGTCCATCGCAGATAAAGCTTTGGGAAGAAATCTGCCTCTCGCAAAAAAAAGGACGTTCCCATCAAGCGGAGCTGTACTTTGTCAGCGTGCTCACACCAAAAACTAAGAGGGTCAACACAATGTTACACCTGATCATCAAGTCACGTCCCCACATGAGTCTTTCCTCAGTCCTTGCCGCAAAAATGTTTTCCTTGCATTCAATTATTTTCTTGCAATCTGTGTCAGACTCAAATGGTTGTCGTTTTAAGTGGTCTGTATACACGACGCATCAGCAGGTTACTCCTGTATTGTTTTTCTAATGAATCCCATTAGTTCCACAATGCGTGACTTTTCCATTAATGAGGTTTGTTTATCCATTCACAAGATCAAAACAAATGAAAAACAAATGAAGATCTGTTATGCTTAGTCGGACATCATAGGAATTAGATATTCTCACAAAAAAGCTTTTATTTCTTTATTGTACTCGTCAAACAGCAGGACACCCGCAGAGAAGTAAGCAATGCAGCGAATACATTTTAATACTTTCCATCGCCAGAGCTCATCCTCGTTTAGCCGTCAAATAACCTTTGTTTTTTACATTCAACGTAACACAAAGCATCGATTAGCATTCACGTGATACACCGGCAGAACACGGCTGGGTGAGGTCATGGCTTTGTGATATCTGAGACTCTTCAGACACTTTTAAAGAAGCTGAATTGAGAAGACGATGTAACTTGACCTGCCGCTTGTTCCTGCTGCAGTATTTTCCTTTTAAGGCCTGTTTTCACTCTTGTACTGCTACGGTTTATTTCACCATAGAAACACATATTACACTTTCCTCCAGGACTCAATGTTCTTTCTGCGGCTCGCTGCAGTAATTACAAAGCACGCCGTTAGAAATACCTCTGCGTCCTGTTCTGTGATCAGTTTGTTTCTCCGTGCGATCTCGCCGATTGTCTTGTCTCTTCAGTGCGCGTCTGTGAATCTACATTTCAGCTTCAAAGCTCGCTGCCTGCAAACGCTGCAGTGCAATATTCCCCAAAAGAGACGTAAGCGCACACACACTGCGAGCTGTGCCTGGATTGTTGTGTGCACATCAGCGCATTGGACAAGACGTTATCAGTTTTTACTGGCGAGTAACGTCGTCCAGGGAGAATTCCTCGCGGTTTTCGAACAGGGACTCAGGTCCCTCTCCCTTGTTATGAGATGGGATCAGCCGGGCTGCACCGTCCACCCGTCGCTCCGACCCCATCTCCATATCACCCTGCGGGATCCTTTTTTCATTTTTTTTCAGCCTCGGTTCGGCTGATGAGATGTGGCAGGGATACAGAGAGCGTTCTACTTCTCCTTATTAGCACTGAACCAGAGGAAAGGGAAGCTTGGGGGGGGGGGGGGGGGCTGCAGGATTGAGGGCATCATCAGAGAAAAGGCTGAGGGACGACGGGAGGGAAAAGACAGAAGCACCACGCGCTTTTTAGGGCTTTGATTGGCTACAACACAGCTGGTTCTCCGTGTTATAAACTATTACAACAAAGCATTTATAACGCTCAGCAATAGCGCTCTGAATAACAAGCTAACAACTTTACTCCTGATAGAAAGACCTCGACAACTATTCGACAAATTTGCATGAAATATTAGAGGCTGCACAAATTCCTGGTCCGCAGAGCATGAACCCCACGGACTGATGATCATTGGTCAGTGCTCGCTCCATGACCAAATACCTGTGAAACCACTACGTTGTTCCTGCTATCTTCTGGCTAGCACTAATAAAACAGGAATCAGGAAACCAATTCCCACCACAATAAATGCATTTTTGACTTCATTCAGAGTGGAAAAGGTGTGCAAATCCATCGTTATGGTGCCTGCACTTTTATTATATTCCTGTTTTTTGTGTTCTGTCCTTACAAAGAAACCTGTCAAACTGAAATCCACTATGGGCTGAACTGTATCCTTCACGTCTGCATTGTTGGGCTCAACAAGCTGTAAGACATTAACAGCGGTGGATCTAATTTTTCTTCCAGTCTACTTGTAGGAATAATTATGTCTGAGTTTAATTTTACAGTTTCATTCTCTCTCCTCTATTTGATATAACCGTCCTCTCTAATCACGCCTGGATTAACCTCGACTCGGGGGAGAGCGGGGAGGAGGGAGCGAGCCAAAGAGCGGCGGTTAGCTTAGAGGAAAGATCATAATTGGGATGACATTTTCCTCCTATAAAGTGTTACCTAAATTGGAATGTCCTCGACAGTAATGAGCTTCTTGGACCAAGAATCATCATTAGTAACCAGAGTGTACGCGCACATTTCAGTGCATTACGACATTGAATCAGGGTACTTTTGTGTGACTTGTTCTGATGCTGATCAACAATAAAAAAAGACCCTGCCGCGTAAACATGAAAATGTTCTCTACAAACTGATTAAATGTGCATGGAAAGTACTTTAGATGTAAGTGTAGAGAATGATACAGATGGACAGATGTTGTCTTCCAAGCCACTGCAGCCTCCCAAGTCGCAGGCTTCTTGCAGACTACATTCTTTCTTTCTTCTTTTCTTCGTTCTTGAATGAATTTCGGCCTCTACATTCTGAGGTCTCGTTGCAGAGAAGTTGCCCCACAGCAGGACGCCGCCACCGCTGTGCTTCGCGCTGGGGACGCTGTGTTGATGAGGACGCGAGGTATTTAGCCTAATGTCCAAAGCGTACTCTCCCACGGGGCTCCTGGACGACTTTAACCGAGATGTCACGTGAGCCTTTTGTCCGTCTCTGCTCTTCTCGGACTCCGATACCAGCTTCTAAGACACTATTACTCCGTTTACAAGAAGAAGAAAAACATTCGTTTCTATTGATGGCTTTTAGACGCGATGGTGATATTTTGTTACAGAAAACCATGACAACATTCAAACGCAAACTCCCCACACACACACGCCTGTAATACCTGTAATACCTCAATCTTTGACTAATTTAAATATCTATTGATCTCCACAAGTTGAGATTGAGTCGGTGTGTGTGTGTGTGTGTGTGTGTGTGTGTGTGTGTGTGTGTGTGTGTGTGTGTGTGTGTGTGTGTGTGGAGCATGAGCGCAATGAGCGAAATGTCCTTAAAAACCGAAAAGGCGCCGCTCGCCGCACATCAGTGGATGATTGGCTCCCTGTGGTGTTCCTCTGATTAGCCAGATAGCAGCTTCTTTCTGCGGCTACAGAATCCGTCTCCGAGGCTCCGCCGCTGTGCTTCCTCCTCCTCCTCCTCCTCCTCTGTTCTTTAAAGGCCGCCGCTCTGTCTCCTCTTCCTCTCCTTCGCTGTCTCCCTCTGTACATCTGTCACTTGCCTCCTCTTCTCCCTCGCCGCCGCGCTGGTTCCCCTGGTTTAACAAGCTGCCGGGGGACTTACACGCGACTACACACAGAAATTTGTTGAAGGCATCTAAAGCAGAGGATGATCCTTCCCCAGATGGCTCCGTTCCCCTTTTAGACATTGAATTTTGGGAGCTTTAATGCCTGTACCCACAGGTTTTTGTTTTTACATCACTTGATGAATACTATAGAATCCCTCATGGAGGAAACTTATACAATTATAAACAACTTGGGTAGAAACTTGCAGCTGTCTGGTCATGAGGTACATCCTCATCTTCAAAGTGGGAAACGAAGAGCGACATTTATCGCGTCATCAGTCGCTCAGCAAAGGTGTCAAAATCAATCTTTGCATTGAGTGGAAGTAAAGACCATGTTTGCTGCTCTCAGACAAAAATATGAGCCCTGCCCCTATTTTCCTCTCTTCAATGGTAAACATGTTGTTTCTTTCCGCTCCGAGTTTCTCAAGCGCAAACCCATTTAAAGTTGCGCTATTAGTCCTAAAATGTGATTTTAATTATGATTCATTGTATCGCACTAAATGCAGAGACTGTGTCATCTTGCACGCAGACCACCAAATGATCCTTCTGAGGGTTAATGACGGGCAGTTTGTGAGCAGCACTGCCGACCTTTACAAAGACACACACGGAAAAACAGCAGAAGTTTGTATTTTATATTAACAATTGATTAGGTTCAAACTCTCCATTGGGGTTTATTTGCATTCAGACTTGTGATCATCATGTTTGGATCAACTCCCCAACCGCTCTATACCGGCCCACTTCATCTACCCAACGCAACAGAAAGGCTCATCGGGCGCGAGAGAAGAAAGGCTGACAATGCGGTAAACAGGTAGTGGATGGGGAGTGCTGTGGTTAATTAGCGATGGGGAGCGCCGGCGGGAGACTAGTCAGGTGACCGTGGCAGGCAGGAAGCACACAGAGGACCACGCAATAGGAGCAACAACAAGGTCTAAAATGGCAGAAGATGTTGGTAACTTCTAAATGTGTCTTATGAGTCTGATATTCTAATTAAAATCCTTACATCATTAACCCTTTGCTCGTCTTGTTTTCGCTTCCTCCTGCAGGACTTCCTCACGGATCTGATGATGTCAGAGGTGGATCGATGCGGGGAGAACGAGCACCTCATCTTCAGGGAGAACACGCTGGCGACGAAGGCCATAGAGGAGTACCTCAAGCTGGTGGGACAGAAGTACCTGCAGGACGCCCTGGGTGAGTGGAGCAGGGATCTGGAAGCCAGAGGCCGTTCCTCTGATGAAAAGCTCAAATAGTTGCTGCTATCTGTGCAGCTGCACGTTCCTGATCACCTCGTTCCCTTTAACACATTAATTTCCTTCAGTCGCCTCTGCTCCCGCTCCTCAGACGTTAGTCCGACGTTTGGTAAGGTGTGTGTTTGTCAGGCTGCAGGCCCGACAATAAGCACTCTGTATGCACCGCGTGCTCTCCTCCCGATGCGTACACGTCGGCAGCTTAATCTACAACCGGCACACATCCTTCCTGCCACTCGCTGCTGATATTTATGCTCGTCGTGTGTGTTCGCGTCGGCCCGGGTGCCTCTGGAACAAGAGCGGACGCCGCTTTTCTCGCCTTTCTGGAATGAGTCAGATAATGTGCGGCTTAAATGGACCTCGTAGGTCTGTCGGTCTCTGTGTGGGTTAGTTTAGTTCATGGCTCAGCTCACACAAATCTCAAAGACAATGTCAAAGCCTGTTCCCTGTGACGTCTTACTCTTCTTGCTGCATTCAAATAAAAAACCTTTTGTTCCTTCACTTGCTCAGTGACTTTGTGTTGTTGTTGTTTCAGGGGAGTTCATCAAGGCTCTGTACGAGTCAGATGAGAACTGCGAGGTGGATCCGTCCAGGTGTTCCTCAGGCGACCTGCACGAACACCAGAGCAACCTGAAGATGTGCTGCGAGCTGGCCTTCTGCAAGATCATCAACTCATACTGGTGAATGCCGGAGCACATTAGTGCCCACACTTAACACGGAGGAGAAATCTCCTGTTCCGTGAATCGGCCCTTTTAAGCAGACTTCATATCAATCAAGACAATGCCTTCAGGGGGGTCTTACATTAAGCTGCATGCCAGTTAGCAGTATTTGTCAGATTTAAAAGAATTAAGTAGTTTAAAATGTGTGAGATTTTAGAGCAACGGCAAGTTGTTAATGTCAAACATAGGACACATTTATCCAGCATCTTACTCCTGCTTTACAGCAGCAGCCTCCACAGGATGTGTTTAGAAGCCTCAATATCTGCAGTTTTGTAATTATATATAAATATTCATAGGTAGGGATGAATGGCAAGACATTCAGAACAATGGTAATCGTGTGCCTCTTGATGTATGGAAAGTGATTGCAATCAAATCAGTAACGGCTTCCTTTGTGTTGTTTTCCCCCGTGAAACAACAAGAGGGAGTGTCAAATGGTCCAATCAGATGCAATAATATGCTAAAACGTCTTATTCAACACCAACCGGCTTTTTTACAATCATCATAAAACGTCCCTCAGAAAGCACAACCATCCCTCGTCTCTGTTTGTGTTCCGCAGTAAACTCTTAAATTAAAAGCCTATTTAAGTCGTACAACATTTGTAAAATTACATTTGTGAAGGTGGGAGTGAAAGTGAGGTATGAGGTAAGGGTCCTCTTTAGAAGTCACGCCCGTCTCTTCTCCTCCGCAGCGTCTTTCCCAGAGAGCTGAAGGAGGTCTTTGCGTCATGGCGACAGGAATGCAGCAACCGGGGTCGACCGGACATCAGCGAGCGGCTCATCAGCGCGTCCTTGTTCCTGCGGTTCCTCTGCCCGGCCATCATGTCCCCCTCGCTTTTCAACTTGATGCAGGAGTATCCGGATGACCGCACAGCGCGCACGCTCACGCTCATCGCCAAAGTCACGCAGAACCTGGCGAACTTCACAAAGTGAGCGTGTGTGTTTGTCGCTAGTAATAAAACCGCCAGCACTCGGCGAGCTTTTTGGACGAGGACTGTGGAATTTTCTAAAAATAACATTTCTTTCTTCCCTCCCCGTCCGCCGTCAGGTTTGGTAACAAGGAGGAGTACATGTCCTTCATGAACCAGTTCGTGGAGCACGAGTGGACCAACATGCAGCGCTTCCTGGTCGAAATCTCCAACCCAGAGACCATCTCCAACACGGCGGGCTTCGAGGGCTACATCGACCTCGGCAGGGAACTCTCCACCCTGCACTCCCTGCTTTCGGAGGTGGTGTCCCAGATGGACCAGGTACCGGAGAGGAAGGCTCCCTGTAATATAATATTCTTATAGGATTCAACTTTGCAGAAGGTCCAAAGGTCTCTGATGGATTATCACAAACTTGAGGATCCGGATCATGCTTGGACTACATTAGGATTTTTGTCGTACATCCATCCATAATTCATCCCTACATTACATAAACAGAGCACAAGGGGAAAACATTGAAAGTCAGAGGCTGGGTGAGGCATATTAATGGATGTGCAAGGACGTCCGCATTAGCTCTGGTAGCAGATGGGAAGCTGGTAATAATTAGATAACGGGAAGATTTGAGGGTTTTTTGAGGGGGGCTAAAGCATCCGGCGCTCTGAAAAACCTTGTCTTTCAATAATTCAGGAATCAAAGTGAGTCTAGTTAAGCCCATCAGACGGGCCGGCCTCCTGCATTATTCAGTATGTTGTCTGAATAAGAGAGTTGATTGCGTGGCATAGGGGAAAATAACCAGGCCTAAAAAATATGCCAATATCAAATTCAGCAAAACAGCACGGAAATGAAATCCAATTAACGCCGCGGCTGAAGTGGTCCAGAGTAATATTTGATTTGGCTGATTATGTCTCTTTCTTCCCAGAGTGCTGCCTCCAAGCTGGGTCCTCTGCCCAGGATCCTGCGGGAGGTGAACACGGCTCTGTCCAACCCGTCCTGCGTCATGATGTCCCCGGGACAGTCCTCGGAGCACGTGGGCTCGCCCCCCGCCGAGGCCGGCTGCAGCATCTCCACCGGCCTGCAGAAGATGGTCATAGACAACGACCTGCCGGGGTGAGGGACACAAACACATTCGTGAAACTGTACTGCACGTTATTTTTTAATCATGAATAGAGAAAAGCTAATTAGATGCCGTGTGCGAAATACAGTGAAAAAACATCGCAGACCACATTAACATGGTTTCCTGGGGGTCTCGAAGATTGAGCTCGCTATTTCCTATTCATCCATATAGGAAAGTACATCTAAAGGAAAAGCCCAATTTAAGTCTTTGGAGGGCAATAAACATACATGCCTCCTTATTGGAACACAAATCAGATCTTTTTGAACCAAAGTGCTTGAACAAGTCTTCAACAATTCTTGTATTACAGAAAAAACTCATTATGGAAGTGCAGCTATTCTCCAAAAGTTATGAACCAGTCCACCAGTTTTTAGATGTCAGTTACCGATACATGCCGGTGCCTCCGGTGCCTCCGCGGTGGATTGTGTTCTCCTGAGTGTCAACGTCTGACAGCGGCACAGCGTCACCCCGGCTTGTTTACATCAGCCAGATGAACCCTCGTTTCCTCACGCACACTCTGACTGCACCTTATCGCTCTTATCTTACTCCCCGACGGCACGCCGGCGAGGGCGACACTTATAAAGATTAACACGAGGCAACAGGGAGCCACAGGAGGAGGGATGTTATAATAAACACCAGTCAGCACAACAGAACAGGAAGTGAGTCATCGTTATGGTAATCAATGGAACTCATTAATGGATGTCCCCGTATGACCTGATGTCAAAGCTTCCCCTCTGCTTGATCACAGCAACCGTTTGCTCGCGTCTTAACCTACGTGTTTCCGTGGTTACGGCCTAACTGCTTCCCATCCGCTGACCAGGGACGCGAAGAGTAAGAGAAAGAAAAAGAAAAAAGTAGAGAGAGAGAGGGAGGGAAGGAATTGAGCAGGAGAAAAATAAGTTTGGGCAGAAGGGTAACGGAACAAAGAGAGAAGGACACGTAGAGGGAGGAGATGAGCGTGATGTGAATGAAAGAGATCACGTCTGTCAAGGTAATCGTCTTCTGGCAATAAAGCCTCCATCTACCAAATGAAAGGAGGGAAAAAAGGGAGTGTGAGGGGCCGGGGGACAAAGCAAAATAGTACGGAGGACACACATCTTTAAAAGCCAGATGGACTTAATCACTTGTATTACTTTTACGATAGCTTAGCTTTTTATCAAAACGCTTAACTTGAAGGTTTTCCAGCTACAGCATCACGCGTTATGACCAGTATCTGCAGGCGGATCGTGTTTTGTGCTGTTTGGGGTAGTTGACTTTTGTCAACCATTTTCAAAAAATTGTGTCACCGCATGGTAGGAAACCGTAGCTAGTCAACAAGTTTGTCTTTTTATTATGTGGTCACATTTGAAGGTCAAAATTACGAGATTTGTGAAATCACATACTATTTTTAATGTAACTTGAGGCCCACTGGTTGAGAATATTTGCTTTACGGCACATTACTGATTTAATTACTTTTTCTAGCGTTACTGTTAGAATTGCTTAGTTTTGCTTTACTGCTCAGGTTTTTACTTTCTCTTCCATGAGGAGTCTAATATTTATTTTATTTATAATTAATTAATCACATTTTTTTTTTGTTACATTGCTGCTTTCGTTGCCGAGGACTTTGAGACTCAGTGAGGCTTTTTATTTGCATACAGATAAAACATTTTCACAGCTCAGGTTCATAAGTTGTGACTGATCCGATCGGCTGTTGTTTTAAGATGCTCGTCAGATTGACCTTTTTCTTGTTCTGTCTCTTTCAGGCTGGTGGACTTCACCAGGTTACCGTCTCCCACCGCGGAAAATAAGGACCTATTCTTTGTGACCAGGAGCTCCGGGATCCAACCTTCCCCAGCACGCAGTTCGAGCTACTCTGAGACCAATGAAGCGGACATGGGCATGGCCAACGGCAGCAAGAGTCTGTCCATGGTGGACCTCCAGGACCCCCGCAGTCTGGACGGTGGTCCGGGTCCAAGCTCCTCGGAGGCCCTGGGTGAAGGTCCAACCCCCGGGGGAGGGTGGTTGGCCAGAGTCCCACAGGTGAACATCCCCGGTGGTCCCACTCTGAGGAGGCCGGCCCAGACCCCCACCGCCCTGGGTACAGAAAGCACCCCGGGTCGACCCGCCCAGCTCCTGGCCCCCCTGTCCTTCCAAAATCCGGTCTACCAGATGGCGGCTTGCCTGCCCGTGTCCCCTCGAGGAATGACCGACTCGGGCTCCGAGTGCCACAGTTCCGTCAGTTCCCATAGCAACAACGAGGACGGACCGGCAGGAGGGAAGAACGCCTTCTTGAACCACGGCGGCGGCGGCGGCGGCGGAGGAGGTGGCGGCGGGAGCAGCGGGGACGAGTACACCCGGCGTTCGGGGGAGTTCAACCGCCGGCAGCTGTCCCTCACGGAGACACAGCACCAGCCCAACGTCCCCAGACAGAACAGTGCCGGCCCGCAGCGGAGAATAGACCAACCTCCGCCCCAGAGCGTCACCCGGGGCCGCACGCCTCCAAATCTCCTCAACAGCGGACCCTACCCCCGGCCCTCTTCTGGCAACATGATGACATCGTCGCCCGACTGGCCCGGCAGCGGCGCGCGGTTACGGCAGCAGTCCTCCTCCTCCAAAGGGGACAGTCCGGAGACCAAGCAGCGGGCTCAGCATAAACAGGTATGGGGCTCGCCTCTGAACACCTGCAGCACGTCCAACGAGGAGGTCCGTTAGGCCGTTACTCTCTGCACAGTCACCCGTAAACGTCGATGTAATCACCTGAGACTCTCATGGCACGTTGAAAAAGACTGCGTGGGGGGGGGGGGGGGGGCTCAGCACTGATCGCTGTGTGTGTAATAACAATAGCTCATCACTTCACCACAGCTTTGCTGGTCAAGTTTAATTGGCCCGGGAAGGAGGCGCAATTAGCATCTTATTAACTAGCAAATAGACACACACTCACATGCTAGCAAGGAAAAAGAAAAGAAGTCATGGGTGCGACCAGACACGGTGTATTGTCAGGCTGGCGTGCCGATCCAGTGTGCGTGTGTCACAGCGGGAGGTTTGCATGGCTTCGCTGCCTCTGCTGGTGAGTCTATAGGCTGTGACTAAAGACACTGGTGAGCGGTTGCCCTTGGTAACTGGCTCGAAGGGAGGGTATCTGCATATTAACCACAATGCTTTGCTCTCCTCTCTGTGGAATATCACCAGATTGCTTTTAGATTGACGGGCTCGCTGATAGAACCGAGCAGTAATTTGGTTAATGCTCGTTCGGGGAACCCAGAACACGCATTTCATTTCAGCGGTGGAAGCAACAAACCTCCAGGAATGTGCAGGCCAATGTGTGCAGATGTGTGTTTTACAGTATCTTTAAAGTGATTATTTTGGGGGGTGATGTCGGTTGCTGCATTACATAAATAGCGACTGTTGGATAGATGGCCGTTGAATCTTTTTCCCACGACGTGAAACAGTTCGTTTTACGCAGCACCATCATCGGGTCTAAATCTTCAAACGTTTACTACATGAGTAACATTGTGACACATACAGACCTTGATATAGTAGTCATATCCTCATTTGGATCAAAATGAACAGTTAACAGCTTTGTGCATGTTTTCAATTAGTCACTAATAAGGTTGTTAAGGGGAAACCCGGATAAGTTCTGATGTTTTTATCCAAACGCTTATTTTAAATATTATAAGTGTGCTGGACTATAAAAGCATCCTACAGTTCCTCTCATGTAGCAGATAGAAAACACACACACACAGTGCCAGCATCTGCCTCCAGATGTTTGCTGTCTTTTGTTCTCACAGTATTTACCCTCCATGCTGCTGGTACGACGCTGTATGTGTCCACACTCACACACACACACATGTTTAAACCCCTGCTTGGAGGTGTGTGCTCTGCTGTGTGTGTGTGTGTGTGTGTGGTTGAAGACACAGGGGTGTGTATCCATTCCACCTGCTGCTTTCAGGCCACATGATTTGATTTTCAAGCTTATTTCTGTTGTTTCTGTGCTGTTATTGCAACCTGCTCCCCCCCCTCCTCCCCTCCTCCCTGTCACTTGCACTCAGCTCATGTATGTTTGTGTGTGTGTCTCTGTGTGTGTGTGTGCGTGTGTGTGTTGTGTTCACTAGGCCCCCTCCCCAGTGAACCCCAGTGCGCTGGACCGCACAGCAGCCTGGCTATTGAATATGAATGTGCAGTATTTAGACCATGAGGGGACGGAGCCCGAGTCACTGAGAAACAGAGAGGATCTGACTCAGGTGGAGAAGGTAACCGGCCCGTTCATCCGACCTTTGACCTTTACCAACACCTCCTCTCACAACCCACCTCGACCTTCAGCCCCGATGCCCCCACTGAACTAACCCTCCTCTCTTTAACCCTCATTAGCTCCCACATGCACCTCCCCCCCGTCTATTTATTCCCACTCTGCCGAGGTCCCTTAGACATCTAATATGCACATTTATAACAGAACTAGAGGTAAATAGGATATATTGTGCCCCCGTCTGGCTCTACTTCGGACCCCTTAGTGCCTCAATCTCCCCCATTTTCCTGAAATTGGCTTTTCCAGTGATATTTAGGCTTTTAGATTTTGGCTACTTCATTTTTTGCCGACCTGCAGTGAACCCGGTTGTGGCTAAAAACGAGGAAGTGATCGCAACAACAGTAATGGCAGAAAGTAGCTATTCTAAATGGAAATAATTGCTAAATATTCCCCCAATAGATGTATTAGTCCAACATTCAGTGTTTCCAGTTTACTCATCACATGAAAAGCATCCGATTCTCAGCTGAAATGTTACATGAAACAAAAAGAATTGACCCATAGGGGAAAAAATCACAGCTGTCCATCAATTACTCGACTAATCAAGACATCAGGACAACTCAGCTGACAATTACACTTCCTGTTTGGTCCCACAGTAAAAGGGGATTCCTAAATATAGACTTGGTTTAGTGAAACTTTAACCCTTTTACTGTCCGTCAGCCTGGAATAACTCATCGTCTGCGCTCGTCTGTCTTACCTGCAGAGCAGGTGTGTGTGTGTGCATGTATGTGTGAGTATGCACATGCAGTACATCCACACAGACACGTTGAAGCTCGTGTGCGCTTGCATCTCCGTGAGAGACGGAGAGAGATTTTTTCCCCTCTGCTTCCTCTGCCTGTGTTCTCGCTTCCTCTTTTTCCTTAACAACCATCCACCCTCATCTTCCTTTCCATCGCTTTGATTGGCTGCCACATGCTCCCCCATATATATATATATATATATATATATATATATAAATATGCCCCCCCCCCCATCCATAATGAATACAAACGTGTCATCCTAACATAGCTCATACTTTCTGGGCGCCAGCAGCCCGAGCGGGGAGAGCAACCAAAGAAGGCAATAACTTCAGTCTTAACAAAGGAGCCGCAGACACCTTAAAATAGCAGAGCAGCAGGAGAAGGATCGGAAAACATCTTCAGCTGAGACGCAGCGAACGCTCCACGCGGGCCGAACCACGCAGGCCGAACCACGCGGGCCGAACGCCGGCTGTTTTAAGATCCACGGCCATTTGCATGCGCTCTATATGTGTTCTGGGTTTTGTCTCGTTTTGCCAGCCAAATAGAAAATGGGACCTTATTTTCATACATATACATACGTTTAAAAAAAGTTTCATTTGCATGAAAAACAAAATGTTTTTTACATTTATTTAGTTTGAAAAAGAAAATAATTACAGTGCCAATGCAGTCCCCCTTTGCACATGATCACATTTTGTGTTTGAGTCGATCCCATATTCAGTTATGTGCAGGTAAGAGATCAAAGGTTCAACAATGAGCTTCAGCCGCTGGCCAGATAGTTTCCCCCGTCTTCATTAAAGTGTCTATTGTCTGTATTTTATAATTATCTTCTGTCTGCTAAATCTATTGCACGTCTCAGGGTTTAAATGATCTACATTTAATCATTTTCCATCTTTCTTATGAACTACCAAAGTCGGAAGGTCGGCTTTGTCGGCACGGCGCCATTTGACATCGATAAAGACACAGAGTCGCATTGTGCAGGACAAAGGCTTTTACAAACACAGTAGATGTCCTTTAATTCTCCACGGATCTAGTGACAAGAGACGAGGGGATGTCAGGGATTGACAGAGGAGTTGAGAAACGGGTCCAGGAGGCGATGAGAAACGTATTCGAGGTCATCAATCCTCCCGAGGAAGAGCAGGCTGGTGCGCAGGAGAGTGAGGAAATAAGGAGACGAGGAGGGATGAATGGAGCCAGCAGCGTCCTCGCTGTGTGATCATTGGGGCGCTCTGATAGTCGGTTTATCCCGGGACGATCCGTCAGTTACCGCGGGACGCTGCTCAGATTGAATACGCAGAGAAGCTGCTCATCTGAAGCCCCGTCGTGTGTTTGCTGTTAATTAGCGCGCCCACACAAAGCCCTAAAGTGCCGAGCGCTGTCCACGCTGATTGGCGGCGTGCTGAGCTCTCGTAGCGTCCCGCCGAGACGTTGTCTCGTCTGCAGCTCCTCTTGTGAGACGCCGGCTGACCACAGCGTCCCTCGCTGCAGAGAGAATTGTGTTTTCCTCTCCAGAAGAGATTCGATTTCTGCACCAGTTTCCCCCCGTCGCCCGAAGAGAAACCTCTTCAAAAGCCGCTCTCAGGTCCAGCGGGAGGTCAGGGAGAGATTTCCATGCTTCTTTTCACAGATTAGACTCCTACTTCACTGGTTCCATCCCTCCCTTTCCCCTCCTCGTCGACTTGATTCATTTTAAATGTCCTCTCTTCTCTTTCCCTCTCTGTTTTTTTGCCTCTCGGCGGGTAGGAAAACAACAGAATTTGACAGTTTTTGATTTATTATTTGCAAAGAAAGTTTTGCTGGGCTGGATGAAATATCCCCCTCGTTAGTGGAAAGAAAGAGGCTGCACAGGTCTAATACGAAAGTGCAATAATGAAATCAGCTCATAAATAAACCGTGTGATACTCTCAGGGGCAACGGGACAACTTTTAGTTTGTGTCGGCGACGGTTACCGTGGCGACGGGGCCGATGATTGCGAGGGTCGTGATGATACCGGGGATCTCCTCATCTCTGCGCTTCTTTGTTCAGTATCAGCAGGAGATCTTAGTGCTGCAGGAGAAGCTGCGGTCGTCGGTGCAGAAGCTGGAGGAGTACGAGTCCCGTCTGAAGGGTCAGGACGAGCAGGCCCAGAAGGTGCTGATGGAGTACCAGGCCAGGCTGGAGGAGTCGGAGGAGCGCCTGCGCAGACAGCAGGACGACAAGGACCTCCAGATGAAGGGCATCATCAGCAGGTAGACGGGAGGAGGAGACGCCGTGGAATCAGCTGGGATCTGTTGTCCAGGTTCTCATCGAAGCGCCTCTGTTTGCAGGTTAATGTCGGTGGAGGAGGAGCTTAAGAAGGACCACTCGGACATGCAGGCGGTGGTGGACTCCAAGCAGAAGATCATTGATGCACAGGTCAGTTTGCTCATTCTGTTGTTCATTCATTCAGTCTCGGCTCTGACCGATCCTCCGCTCCCTCCCGCTCTCTCTCGCATAAAACATACATTTACTCATCGGGTTTTCTGTTGACCTGCAGCTCCTGAATAATCCACGTGATTCGTATTCATATAGAACTGTTCTGAATGTGGATGATTGAGAATAATTCAAGTCAAGCAGAAGATGATTGTCAGCAGAAATTTGTACTTGTTTGAGCCGTTGTGTGCACATTATATGCAAACCCACAATTAAGCTCTGTGCACATGTGGAGATTAACGCCAAAGGGATTTCTACAGCGGAACGGGGGAGAAATCCCACATGCTGCAACAAGACATTAGCACAAAGCCAGACACGTACATGCAAAGGTGATTAATCTCCCGCACACTTAATTCACGGGACTTTGCACCTGCAGACAAACAAACACGTTCAGCAAACAGGCCGACGGAATGGAAAAAAATAAAAGCTCATTATGAAGAGAGGGAGGGAGCTGTGCTCAGCGCCGCCTACACATTATAAAACTGTCGCTTCACGCAAACAATTACTTTCAATCGCTCAGGTTGAGTGTGTCCAAACTTTTGACTGTAAAGACATTTCTTGGTCTCCCAGCAGCATCTGCGTGTTTATAGAAGTTGCTGTCTGTGGTACATCACATACATGTGATATGTTTGGTTTCCAACAGCATACTTTTTTCTTATAATGTTGTTAATGAAAGTTGCCTGTGAATCAAGTAGCCTTATATGGTCATTTGGTTGATGAAGAGATTTAAGATGAAGAGAAACAGATTCCCAGTCCTGTCTTCCCGTAGATTCTACAATGCTGCTTGTCTCCCTGCATTCATGCGCGCGTGTGTGTGTGTGTGTGTGTGTGTGCAGGAGAAGCGCATAGCATCTTTGGATGCTGCCAACGCTCGTCTGATGAGCGCCCTCAGCCAGCTGAAGGAGCGCTACAGCATGCAGACCCGCAACGGCATCTCGCCCACCAACCCCACCAAGCTGCAGATAACTGAAAACGGGGAGTTCAGGAACAGCAGCAACTGTTAGACGGAGCGGAGCGTGTACAGCGACCCGGTGCAAGGACCCGAACACGCATGCACGGCTGCACGCCTGTTGCAGAGACCGCGAGGTTTTTAAAAGCAAACATAGTACTTTTGCGGGACATTTCCAGTTTTTGGACAACCTGGGCAGCAGTGGGCGGGCCAACCCGAAGAGGCGGGACCTACACGTGACGGACAGATCCCCCGGAGAACAAGCTGAGCGTACGGGGGGTCGTTACCAGGGAGACGGCCGGAGGAGGCGGGGCAGAGCTTGTACATATGAAACGCAAAGCTGTCCATGTATGCAGTCGCTGGGACGTTTCAAGATCCTGCCGACACTTGGGACAAACCACTATACAGCTACACACAGCGACAACCGCCAGACACGGTCACCATAGCAACCGTCCTCTCCTCCGCTCTCACTTTATTCTCCTCCCTCCCGACAAGCAACAATGAAGCGCAGCGCGGATTATCGCTCTCGTTGTCTTCAGCAGATTACTTTGCTTTATTTAAGAGTCATTGTTTATAAAGAACCAAATAGGAGCTAAAGAAAATAGATATTTTTCGCCCCAAATGATGTTTATGTCCCTTTTGACTCCTCGGGTGTGTCCCCCCCCCCGGAGTGCACTTTGTGATACGCTATTGGTACATGAAACGCCTTAATTAAGGAACACACCTTGACTTCATCCCGCTGCTCCCCGACTTCAGAAAAAAGGCACAACTTAAACTGTGGATTTGTAGAGAATAGAAAAATAAAACTATACATACATAAATGTATTATGAACACTAAAGTAAATGAATTCTATGTGATACTATATTAATGAAATGTAACATAGATGTATGCATTTCTTTTCTGCTATAGAGTATACACACATATCTATATTTGATAATCTCAAATATAAAAGCAGACCTTTATTTAGGAGTGAGATCTACTTTTATTTTTCTTCTGTCGCGATGAAAGACTGCAGTGTGTTTTGCTTTGGAGCCCCGGAGGAGTCGATCACGGCGAGCAGTGATCAGCACCAGCGCCTCGCTCGCCCGTTCAAATCTCCACGGCGACGCCGAACCCGTCACAGGCGGCACGCGCGACATGTGAGCCGACACGGCCTGCGCATTCAAACCGCCGTCTCTCCCGCTGCTGCTGATCATCGCTCCCCAAACACACGGATCAATTAAACCCAGATTTAGATTTTAGTTTGGTGGGTTGTGTGAGTGCGTGTGATCTTCTCGCTGTAGTAGCACAATAGTTACGGAGAGACGTGTGCTTCGACACGCTCACTCATCCCAAACACTGGACTGGTGAGCCGTCGGCCTCCTCGGTGACATTTCCTCTCCCACCTGCTTTGTTTGTCGGTGGTAATGAAGTTTGCTGCATCCAAACTGTGACTCTTATTAATCCTCATGGCATCGTCTCTCTCCTCACCGTCTCTTTTTTATTTGCTTTACCTTCACCCCCCTTTTAGCCATCGTTTTTTTTCCGAATGTGAAGACGCTCGCTTCGCAGTTTGATCCGTCTAATCTGCTCCGTACATCTCAGCGTCTATAATTTGTATATTTTTGTACCCGTTGTTCTTACGTGTCACAGACTGCGTGCGTGAGGCTCTGCATGCTTCATCCTCTCTCCAGAGCCAACGCAGTGGCACCAACACCACTTCTTCTGTTTCCAATCGGAAGGTTATGATGATGATGAATGCGTTTGCTGCAGGCATATACAGTGAATATATGATAACCGAGTGCATCAAGAGGCTGGACAGCCTGGGAACGTGTAAATAAAATGCTCACACTATTTTTACCTAATGTTAACAGAGCTTTTTGTAAATGTATCTCGTGCTCAAACTCTGCTGTATCATTATGGATTTTGTAAATACAAAATAGCTCAGTCGGTCATCTGTCCTCATTGAATAGAACTATTCTCTTAAATGAACCTTTCAGTGTTCTCCCGGTCAAAGCTATCGTTTTTGTGTTTAGAGTGTATTTTCACTAGCCAAAAAAACAGTTAAAGTAGGATTTGGGAAGTTGCCACACAATCCTGCAGTTCCCATCAGTCTTTGCACTTTTATGTTCAGTGGTCGGTGTTCTCAATTAGCTTCTGTTTAGCTCAGCACTTGTTTCTGCTGTTTAAAAACGTGGCGACGTTCAAAACCGAAGGGATTTCTTGGGATTAGATTGTCAGGACGTTGTGTCAGATTGACAGAACTGTTCGCCTCAGACTGCAGACTGCGTGCGGTCGAATGCAGAAAGAAAAGAAAAGGAGATGTAGGACTTTCCTCGTTATATCTTATTAGGCATTTGATCCTGAAACAATATCAAGTGAGACTGTTACTTTTGACTGAGAAAAAGGGGTTGAGTTGATCCGAAACATTTCTATACGCTTCACAATAATTATTGCTACATGGTCTTTCTTTAACCAGTAGTAGCAAATGTTAACCTTTAGCTCTGGTGGTTCATTTAAAGTGTCATTGTTTGCCTTTAAACTGCAGTTTACAATAATACAAGTTAAGCGATGACACGTCTGTGTGTGTCCATCTGCAACCAGAAAAGAGGAAGAGACTCTTCTCACGTCCACGTTTCCACCCGTTTCCATTTTTTGCAGTCCAAACACGAGCTGTCACTTCCCAAATAGTTACTCCACTTAGACAAAAGATCGATCTAAAATATAAAGCTATAAATAAAGTAAAAGATGTTGTATGTTTTCTATTATCTTGTAGAAAATACTTTTGTAAGTATGTTGAAAGTATAAAGTATTTGCTGGATTCTGCTTCCTTTGACGACAGTGACAAAACAATAATGTACAGAGGAATTTGTGTTGACAAAATGTGGCTGTGCAATTTATGTACATTTGCAACTAGACCTATTAAAGTTTTATTTAGCTATTTTAAAATCGCGTTGTTTCATTTGTTTTGTTTTGCTTATTATTCTTAATGTGCGGGCAGTGAATCAAACTCCACGTTGTTAGAAAGTCCAGCAGCCCGAGACAATCAAACTTGTGCTGAGACGGAGGACACGGTGAGACGGACCGTCTCCTCGGTGAGGCTGACCTACATACTGCCCGATTGTTATTCAGCACGTGGGGAGGGAGGAAGCCCGGACTGCTGTGCGCCTGCAAAAGGTCTCTCTCACATTCATGTGGCTGCATCGAGGGGACGGTTTTTAGATTGAGACAAATACAGTATTAGTGTCTAATGGTACTAAAACGGAATAATCAAAGGTTCACCAGTAATGGTGAGAGGAAAAGTAGGAATCTATTATGACAAAGAACATTTTAAAAAGGTTCAGTGTTTGAAAAAAAATATTTTGCAAAAATAAGTCACAATTTGTTTTTACGTCAAACGTTACCAAAACGACACGGAGCAAAAATAGCATATTTTGAGATGAAAATGTGCCTGAAATTCGTGGTTTTGTGAATGAGGATTTAATTATAAACCACAAACTGCTCTAATGTAAACAAAAAAAAGCCCCAGTTAAAAGTAGTTAAAGAGAAATCTGCTTCACAGCAGCAGTGAGCACATCGACACACAGAAACAGAACTTTATTTCTTGCAGTGTTATGAAGACATTTGTCCAATCGATTAATAACGTCATGAATTGACTTTACGTTAGAAAACATCTGCAGAAAATGAGTCAGTCTTGCAGAAGTTTTCAACATGAAGTTCAAGGATTGTGGTTTTGCTAACAAACATCTATGACCTTTCCTGTTGGCGTCTTCGTGTGTCGCCACATCGGATGAATTTGTATTACAAACGCTACGTGGATCACATTTAAGAAACATTGCATCTGATTAGATTGTGCCATGCAATTAATTCCCAATGAACATCGTGTGGCAAAAGGTCCGAGAGGCGACGCGACCGCTTGTTCACTTCGCTCATCGCTAATGGCGCCGCACAGCTGAGCCTAACAAATAAATACAACACGCTCACATCCATTTCTGTGCAAATTAACAGTTCCAAGAGCTGTGCAAATTCAACGATAAAACACACACACACACACACACACACACACACACACACACACACACACACTAAGGAAGCTCCCTCACACTCATGAATGTTTGTGCGCTGTGTGGAGCCGCATTAATCCATGAACAAAGAAAAGGTTTCAGTGTTCAAGAGAAAAGGTGAAGGGAAGCAAATAGCTGCCCTGTAGAATCAGTAAGTGTCTCCAAGCAGCGGCGTCTTCCTCCACGCGGGTCAGATAAGACCTCACCAAACGGGGGAGGAAGGAAATGCTCCCCAGCGCCAATGTTCCCTCCCCCACCGGGTGGAGGCACCAGCGAGGGCCGTGTTCGGGTGCTGGACGCCTCAGTTCTCCACGTTGGCCCTGAGCGTGCGAGGAATGAGCCTTTGATGCAGCCGGTACTCCTGGCTGGAGGCCCTCCGCAGGGGGGCCGGAGAGCCCAGCTGACGGTTGCCGGGGCCCAGCGCGTGAGTCTTGGCGGGCCGCGGCATCGCCCGGCTGCAGCTCACCGAGCGCCGCTCCTCCACGGCCGTCTGGGACTCCAGCTGCGCCTCGCACAGCTCCAGCAGAGACGCTACTTGCTCCCTCAGCGGCAGGGATTTAAACCTGCGACCTGCCAGATGGAAGAAGGCTTCCACGAACGCTTGCAGTCCCATTCCTGCAGGGAACGTAAGGAGGAAGGTGAGGCCAGAGGAGGACGCGTGAGGGAACTTAAGACCACATTTAAATGACAACAGGCGTTTACTCCGTTTCAGCAAACCGGCTGATGTCACATTATGAGGAGATTTACATATGGAAAATATACCAAGAAGCTTCATAAAGACACATTGTTTAACTTGAACTGCTGCAGAAGTATTATGGAAACAAGAGAAGATGTTCTACTGCAGCTTCACTGTGTGTGTGTGTGTTACAAACATAGTGGGTCTGTCAAAAGGAGAAAATCTTGGTCAGAAATAACCGACCACGACGCTGGCCGAGCCTCCCCGAACACGGACGAGCTCATTCTAAACTCCGCCCACAACCTCCCTTCCCTCGCGGTCACGTGATCTCCATCCAGCCGCTGCGAGGTGCAAAGTCTGAATGATTCACGTCGGGGATTCACTCATTTCAATGACCAGCGTGTCAGAGGGAATCTGACAGAACGACAAGCAATTATCTCCAAGCACCGAGTCTCAAGGACAGCCGCCTGTCTGTGTGTGTGTGTGTGTGTGTGTGTGTGTGTGTTTGTGTGTGCGTGCGTGCGTGTTACCTGCTTCTTTAGACTCGCCCGTTGTTCCTGACCAGCGGCGTGTGATGTCGATGTAGAGGATGTCCACTGAAGCCATGGAGAAGTTACTGTTGCTCAGCTTGCAGGTCCTAAAACCATGAATACGTTCAGTCCAACTGAAGCGACGTTTAGTCAGAATGGAAAACATGTGACATCGACTACGCATGAAGATATGAAGCCAAAACATCACAGAAGTAGTAACTAAAGTACATATAATATACAGTCCCGTGAATCGGGTGTGTTGGGACCGATGAGCCGCCGTACCTGATGAAGGTCCGGAAGGCGGTGGGGCCCAGGCGCATGTTGCCCTTGACGCCGAGGAAGCGTATGAACAGCGCTGCGATCCGCTCCACCAGCCGCAGGTAGTTGAACTGCTTGGTGTATTTGGGGTAGACCTGCTTGAGACACAGCGAAGGCAGCGCCCCGTCCTCCGGGCTCCTGTCTCGTGTCTCCGCCTCCATGGGGACCTCCTCGCTGTGCTCCGGCCCGCCAGCCCTCAGATGGGAACTGTGGCGACGATTCAAAAAGGACAACAGGGATGAAAACACCAAAACCCAAACACACATGCAAAAGACACCCAGAGGCCAAATGTGAGCGGAGTGTACGCGAGGAGGGGAATGTCTAATCTGGCCGTCGTTACCCGGCGTCAAAGCAATTTACATCCGCCGAGGAAAAGGAGCAAAAAGGAGCAAAATGTGTCAATGAAAAAAACGTGTCTGCACACTGAAATGAAACCTGAGCGTTTCTCTGCCGTGAGATTCATTCCTACAGAGACAATTATTCTACCACAGGTAACAACACACGCTTCCTCTGTGTAGAAAGCGTTACACCCATGTTCCATGTTCCCGACCACACGGGTCAGCAGGCAGCGGCCAGATGGAGCAGAGGTTAATGAAAGAGGACGGACATCTTAGAGGACAAAGGACTGGACGCTGTCCCTCGATAACTGCTAGATTATTAAGTCATATTTAATTAACACACTGCTTACGATGTAAGCAGTGTGTTAATTCAAAGCTTCCACAGCGACACAAATGAAGGTTCTGCCTTCGTCCTCCTCATCACATCTCATTTGCTTCATGCAGATCCGGCTCCAGTAAGCGTTTCCCCTCGCACCCTATTTTAGGAAACGCTTGCTTACGATTATCAGCTTTTTGTTTGTCACCCACATTCTCAGCGGCTCATAAATCCCCCACAGAGGCGTCACGCGCGGGACTAATGAGCCGGGTGTGAGGAGCACAAACCCAGAGTCACATCCCGCCCTCCTCCTCCTCAGTTATCTCCACCCCCAAAGCTACACGCGCCCCCCCCCCCCCCCCCTATCTCTCTTGCCTCCTCTAAGCAGCCCCCCCCCCCCTCCCGTTTTACTCTGCGTGTTGGTCCTCTGTCAGCTTCATGACTCACAGGTGGAGGTTCTGACAGACGGAGCGCCGTCCCGCTGCACATCGCCAGTAGATGCACCATCTGTTGGGTAAACTAATTAGCTCTCCTCCTCTGAGCATTTGGTTTGTGCTCCCACAGATCGTTCTAGACGTTTGCTGAGGAAATCCAATATGACTGAACAGAGTCTAAATGTGTGCACGTGGCCGGCAGCTTGAACCCGGCGCTCGTATTAACCGACGCTCAAACACCAGCCTGTTCTGATGCCAAATGCTCACCGTGCTTTGATTATTCCCATTAATCAGAGCTTTGTTCCCTTCTTACACTATTTGGTGGATCTCGGGTGCTAAAACCTTCAGCTTATATTCAGCTGACCTTTGAAGAGGCCAAACCACTTGGCTGTGAACTCGGGGCTAAATTAACAAACTGATTATCTTAATAACATTGCAGCACAGTTCAAACTGGCTACGACAGCAGAATACTTGCTCATTGAACAGAATTCATCTAACAATGTCTGAAATAACAGCGTGTGAGATAAGATTTATTTTACCAAGCATCTGTGAATTTACACACAACTGGCTGGATTTAAAATGGATCGAAGTCAACAGACAAAGAACACAGTGTGGAGCTGGATGATTGATGAGACGCGTGTCGTTGGCGGCAGTGATGATTACATACTTTGGAGCACATCCAATCTAATGGCTAATACGATAAAGATGAGCACAGATTTATAAAGTTTGGTCCTTCAGGTTTCTGTTCCAATACTACAGGATTAAAGTGGGCGAAGTACGCGAGGAGCTTCGGACAGTTTCACCCGTAGTCTGGGTCGAGGTTCTCGTTGATGCCAATAAGTGTTTTTTATTATTTAATAACTGAGTATTCTCCTCAGCTTCGCAGATCTATGACCCCCCCGTTCTGTCCTGATAGAAAACGCTCTCCGCACACATCAGATCCAGATATTCTTCCACTACGTGGTTGACTTTAGGAGGGAAATAAATGGAGGTATGACGCCTCAGTCAAATACGATGTTGGAGGATCATTTTGTATAAATTAAACTTCCTAAATTCAACGAATAAATAATACCTACATATATAAAATAACCTTATATTGGCACTGAGGATTTAATGTCGTAAATCTTTAAATACATTTATAAAGACAACATGAGTTCCAAGTCAACATAAAAAGTTCGAGGGACATCAGATCAAAGGATTGAGTCTCTAAAAGTACAACAATAGGAATTAGTGTTGAGAATTCTACACGTGTACACTACATTATACAGTATTTCATCCACTGACAAGTACAAGTGGTTCTGCAGATTCTGGCCGGTTGGTGGTCATGAGTGAGATAGTTAAGTGGGTATTATCCCACTCATGATATGAACAAAGCACATCAAATATCTGATACAGAAGATAATCCGCAGAGGAAAGTGGGGGGAGGAGGGAAATCGGGGGCCGGCCAGGCAACAAATTGAGATGTCGGTGGAACAGAAACAGTTAATCCTCTTGTCATAAAAGAAAAACAGATTAAGATGTAAAAAAAAAACCACACAAACGCTAATAGAAAAGGAGATTTATTGGCAGGCGGCAGGCGGGGCCGGTCAGCCGTAATGTGTGAAACTCCACTCCGGCTCAGCTCAATTTCATTTTTCCATTTAACAGGCTTAAGCCGTCGAGTGGCGCGGCGATCGGCTCTGAGGACAGATGGGAAGAGGGAGGCGTCGTGTCCTTGGAAGTGAGCTTTTAAAGGCGAGCAGACGCGGAGAAGACGGCCGTGTGTTTTGTGTACGCGTGCGTTAAAGTGGGAGAGAACTTACACGGAGGGTTTCCTGCGGCCGGGGTCCATGAGGCGCAGCGTGTCCCTGATCACGCCCACTTTCACCTCTTCGTCCACCGGACTGGGGACGTATTCAAACACTCCGGTTGCCACCTGAGACAAAACACAAACATAAAATACAGCCGTGAATAATAAAGACGTCAATCCTCCGGCACCGCCGCGGTCGACGTCGACTCTTACCTCCTGTTCGTGTTCGATTCTCATACTGGGGTTGGAGTTCACCTCCAGTAATACAGGCTTGAGGTTTTTCATCAGCAGGATGTCAAAGCCTAATATCTGAGACACAGACGCGAGGGGAGAATCATTGTTACACTACAAGAAACCACACAGAACTTTCAGCGCATTATGAACAGAAGATGATAATATAATTATATCCCATTTCAGCCGATAGATCCTCCTTGATGAGTGTTGTGCAAGCAGGAGGAGGAACACCGGATAAAAAGTGTCAATGAAAGCATAAAGAGACAAGAGAAATAGGAACATCTCACTTTTGAGAAAGTCCTTTGTGAACCATTAGGTCATAAACTGTGTCCGTAGAAAGTGTCTGGATTTGATGGGAGAGATGATCTGACATGTTAATCAGCTTTGTCAACAGATGGACGGATGTTGATCTTTAACAATACGTGAGCGTACATTCTGGTTCATTAAATATCCTACTGTACCCACATTGTGCTGCACGGTACCCACCTGGAAGCAGGTGGGCCCCGGTTTGCCGGGCGGTATGTCGGCCTGGTAGTGGACCCGGAGCTCGGGCACCATGGCGATAGCGGTCTTGATGACGAGCGCGATGATGTCCGACCACACCTTCTTGATGTCCACGCCTTTGGCCGCCAGCCTGTACAGCACGCTGGAGAGCGTGCGCTTGCTGCCGGTGCTCTGGCTGTCCGAGTGGACGAAGTTGCCACTGTGGACGTTGAGGGAGTAGTTGGTCAGGTGCATGAAGACATGGCTCAGGTTCTTCTGGCTTGGTTCCTACACATTCAGAACAAGAGTGGCCTTATGTGCTGTAATCTCAAATGAACGACGAACAAAAGTGAAGGATCGGCGGCGCGGCTACCTGGTAGGGCTCGGTGCAAAAACGCGTCAGGCCTTCCTTGGCAATGTAGATCTCCAGCGGCTCCAGGGATTTTAACAGCACGTAGAGGCGGATGTCGAACTTGAGCTTGTCTATGAGTAACGGCTTCTGGATGTACTCCTGCACCACGGCCTGTTTGGCCGGCGACCCCGCCATGAGCTTCAGGTCACTGGGGTCACGAATGAGGTAGATGCCGTCGCCTTGAGAGCCCGAGTCCGGCTTGACGATGAAGGTGGGATTCAACGTTGGTTCGTTCTCCTTCACCATGCGGATCTGCAGCCGAGGGGGGGAGTGAGAAAAGAATTATTGGCACCACTTGAAATGCAACACTGGGCCAAACTTCAAAGTTTGAGTGAAGTCTGTTTGATGGCGCTGTGAAAGAGGTCAAAGCTGGAATGGGCAACTTTAGACAAACCAGCATTATTTTTGAAAACATCAAACCAGAAAAAACACTCATGCGCTGCCTGGATGACAAGCGAGGCGTGTCGTTGTCGTCACTGACCGAATAACTTACTCAAGGTTCTTTCACTTGTAACCAAACTAACATCATGATAACGATTTTCAACAACAAACATGGTGATTGTTAGTACTCATTGATTGTGGAAGAGTTCAGTCACGCAGGTCATTCGATCATTGAACAGCAGCTGAACTTTAACAAATAGGAGGAAAAAATGATCGATTGAACCATTTGAAACGTAAACCAGGCGGAATGTTAACAGCGGTGTGCTGGTGCCCCCTGCTGGGCATATGATGTTGTTGCTTCATATGATTGACCTAAATGTTATTTTCCTAATAAAAGCGGACTGAAAAGTACAAACCATCATGGGTTTGGGGTGAAGAATGGCACAATAGTGCCAATAATTCTGTCAGTCAAGCAGAAGCTGCAGAGGAACGTCATACAGTGCGTGTCTGCAGCCAACACTGTTTTCTTTACAAGACAACCCTACTAGTCTCAACCATGTGCGTTAGATGACCATAACAAGGTTAATATTCATGAATATGGCACAGTCGGTTTCCCCCCTCAAGGAGAGGAATGACCTCGGAATAACAAGTTACAGTGCAGAGAGAGAAATGAGCACCGCTACTGTGAAGATAACATCATCCGTTTGGTTGTTGCTGCAATATGGCAAATTCTGAAAGTTTGCCATATTTTGCCATAAAAGAGAAAGCAAGCTGGCAAACAGAAACACTGCTTTAAATCTCAGAGGTGTCTTCAAGCTTATTTTAGCCTTCTTTGTACTGTTATCGTTTGGGGTTTATGGGTTGTATATGCTGCCGCCCTGCTCAGGTGTCTTTTTGCAAAAGAGATTTTCAACTTCAATTTATCATGTTAAATAAAATCAGACACACTGATCTAATCTTTTGTCATTTTATTTATAGCGACATTGAATTAATGAAACAGCTCCAAAACTGCTTGATTTCTACTCGGACTGTGTGAAGTATCCAACGTTTGCACTGCACAGCTCCTCGTGAATACATCCAAAGAAAACCTCCACGTAACACGTCCACGGTCATAACGCTTTTATTACGCAAACATACCTGGGTGGAAAACTGCTGGCACTCTTCAGGCAGGATCCAGGACCGGGGATAGAAGTCGTACTCCTCTGGGAAAAGCTCCTGCATCGTCCTCACTGCCCGACTCAGGTTGATCTTCCTCAGCATTTCAATCATTCCTGCAAGGAACAAAAGCACCGTTTCATGTACAATAAATACAAGAGACCGAAGGGAGAGATATCCATTGAAAAGTACTAGAGCGTCGTGAAAGAAAGTGATATGGCCAAGTAAATAATGGAGCAGCCACGCAAGGAGATATAATGTAATATGACACAGGTCTCATAGACAGATAAATGCAAGTCAGCATCCTCCAGCTACGTGCATCGCTTACGAATACGATCATCTCTGTCAAATCTCTCTCCGTCTAAAGTAATGATTTTTGCCATCGCATGACAAGATTAACACTGGAGCGTTGAGGATCAGTGAGGCTTTAAGTAAACCCTGCCGTGATTACAGAATACACGAGCGCTGCGGGAATGAAGCCATCGCTCCACCTACAGATCAGGTCACAGAAGACGGCGGCGGCGGCAAAAGCGGTGGAATACCTGGGAACTTGTTCACCTGCCCGGAGACGATTTTTTCGTTGTCGTGGAAGGAGACGCCGTGCCAGTAGATATCACAGGGCGCTCGTCTTCCCAGGGGAAACTGGAGGGGGGAATAAAAAGGTTGCAAACACAAACAACCAAACGATACGTGCATTGAGTATATAATAAACTTTTTGCATATAAGTAAGTGGGGGGGTTGCTCATGTAACTCAGGCCTCTGTTGATCCCCGAGAGCAGGGATAATCTTGCCTAAAGACGGTGTCAGTGCGTGCTCGCCTGTGATGATCGGGGGCAAAGAAGAGGAGGTGATACTATAAAAAGGAGTTAAGCGACTCCTCGGGGCTTTTCTCCTCGGCACCTCGCTCACGCTCTGCCGCGGTCACGCAACGAGTATTACAGTCACCAATGGACACCACTTTCCATTTCAGCTTATGTAGCACAATGGCAGCCAGATAGAAGATATGTTAAGTTGTTGTGCCATCAGTGCGTAGCACTTATAATCAGTTATACGGGTTAGAATCTCCATACATTGGCCAGGTCTTGCAGTCCGAATGGACAGGCCAAACCCAATGTTTGAATGCAGTTATTGGTCTTATTTTCTCAAGTTGTCACTCAGAGCGGCCATATTTTCTCTGCCTCGAGGACTAAAAAGAATATTGGATTAAAGGCGCTTCAGGATTATCATTTTCCGCTGTGAGAGAGAATGTCGTATGTTGACATATACTGCAAACGTAGAGACGCGGTAATTTGGACGAACCTTGAGTAAATTAAAAAAAAACGCATAAAATGTCCACAATTATCTCCAGCATTCCATTTCGTGATCCTGCATCAGTGCTTTGAGGTACAGCTTGGATTCCTCCCGATCGATGTACATTTCAGAATTGGCAAACCAGGCGACTCCAGTTTCAGCCGCTTCAAAGATGCTGACAGGTACTTTCATAAAACGACACGGGCTCTTATGGCGGCGTTGACTTTGTGAGGACAAAGGGTGGTAATGTATATGTCCTCTGTCCACCGTTACCGATGGCAGACCTGGAAGGGATCAAGTGTCACTGCCTCGGGGGAACTCGAGTGTTTACCTCATCTTTGCTTCTCCTGCATAATGGAGAGCGTGTCATAATAGCGGGTATTAACGGAATCACGTTCAAAACGACCACACGATGTTCGTGGACAAAGAACTGGATGAATTGTCCCTCTCACAAATGTTCTAATGTAGTTGCTGTTCAGTTTGAACGACTTTGCTCCACATCTGTCCTTTCATACATCAGATGCACGCGAGCCGGCATCGCCAGGTTGGCTTGTGTTAAAGGTGATCGGTCATCTAATTAATAACCGGGCCACGTTTTATTACTGAAGATAATTAATGACAATTAAATCAATACGTGAACAAATAGGAAATGTGTGTGTGTGTCGGGTTCTGCGGCATCTACATTATTGCATTTAGTGGTGCAAATGTTGCATTAAGTTACTAGTTCATTTAAGTGACAGGCGCTTCTTCACTGATTTTGGATCCCAGATGAGGAGAAAAAACAAACATTATCTAGCATTAGGCCTCAAACAGAAGGAAGCGGTCACATCTTATTATTGTCCAATACTGTATGGGCTGATGCAAGTAAGATTACATTGACTCCTATACAGATATGCTCTGCTTATGTTTATCCTCCCCAGCTCATCACACCCTCACATGGTCTCTGCAGACACGCAGCTCCTCAGAGCTCACAGCTGGAGAGCAGAGGGTTCCCCATCCACGCACATTGGTGACCAGAGCCTCAGCTGGTTGGCATCCCAATGGATCACTAATGCAGCTGATGGGAGAGATCCTCTCCGGATCACCTGCTTTGTTAAACTGGCACCTGATCCTCTCAGAGAAATACACCTGTACAAAGCATTGGCTGAATAAAACGCTATCCAAAACACACACACACACACACACACACACACCTCTTTCCACTTCAGCTGCTTGATGCTTAACTTGAGCGCCTCCAATGAAGTTTTGGCTTTGGACATGTCCACAGTCACCGGCCGGTTCTTCCGGGCCAGTTTGAATCCGTCCTCGCGGCGGGTTTCTTGATTGTTTTTGGACGGGTGGATGTTCACGTAGTTCCCGTTCGCCTCCAACTGGCCCCGCAGGATCTTCCCGGTGCCTCTGACGTGAAGTGCCCGCTCGTGCCCGAGTCTATTCAGGTGACGAGCGGTGACCACGGACCCGTGCAGCGGCACGTCTGAGGCGTGTTTCCGGACGTCCTTCCCCGCCGTGCTGCGACTTTTAACCCGCTGTTTGCAGGTGAGCGGGACGCGGGACGCATCCCCGGCGGCCACGGTGACGCCGGGAGCGTCCGGGAAGACGGACGCGGCGGGGGGACCCTCGGGCGCCTGCTCCTCGGCATCCGCAGCCTCCCGCCCCGCGTCCTCGCCCAGGGATTTCATGTCCTCGATTTGAATCTTTACTCTGACATACCGATCGCTCATGCTGCGGAAACGCAACGAGTGACGCGGCTCGGCAGCGCAGCGTCGCACCAACGAGCGCGATAATCCGACGCCGGCGAGCTAACGGTATCCTGCAGTAACGTAGCACGCATTGCTAGCTTAATGAGGCTAATTAAATAGTCCAACCGTCTGTTACCGTCACGTCGTTTCCAAAACGGTGCGAGCGAGCACACCGCGAGTGCATGCCTTCGGTCGTTAACGGTATGAATTGCCGACTGTAAAAAAATAAAAATAAAAAGGCTAAAGAATAAACGGTAACGACGCGTTTCGCCAGTTGGGCACAATTTGCGAGGAGCAACATCGGAAGGCTAGCCGAGCGCCGCAGCTAACGATAGCGAACACCTGCCGTTAGCACGTCAAACTTCATTGAGCGGTGGCCGAACCACATGGGTCCGCGCCAATAGCGGTGCCGTCCCTTAACTTTAACTCGTGACAGACGTTCCCTTACGCCGGAGTTTACCTAGTTGTTCTAGCGGTGCTCGGACGGGCCACGGTCGTCCGCTCTCCGTGTGTCACCGTCCCCGTGTTGTCAAGTAGCGGGGCGGCAGGAGGCAGAGCAAGCCCGTCGCCCAGCCTCCATCTGGCGCGAGCTCAGCTGTTGGTGCGTTTATGGCTCCTCGTAACTACCTGTCTTCGAAAGAAGTATTGGTTATGTTACGTGTGGTGATGATTATAACCGAACCAAACAGCACATAGAGCCGCAATAGTGTGTATTTCTGGATATTTCGATTTCACAGGTTGATTGTAGGTAACTGAATGTTATGAATTCGTACCATTTACTCTTTCCATTGATTTCTCCTTTTAAATTGTTTTATTTCCGGCAGCACGTGAAGGCAACAAGTGGATGCCATGTTTCAGGAGGCGTTCCCCCCTTTACAGCAAGCAATAGAATATCCTCAACCAAATACCGTTATTCACTTTGGGAGTTAGTGCTGCTATTAGGCCATGCAAGTCTAAGTACACTGATGAAAGTACGAAATGAAGTATGTGAGTGATGACAAATAAAAAAAAGCTTGTGTGTGTGGAATATGGAATGAGCTGATAGAGGGCAACTTGCCTCTAAGACATCATAAAGGAATTATGGTTCTTGAAGCACGATCTTCACACATTCCCATTTCACATGTTAACAAATTGTCCTCAGGAAACGATTGTGATTCCTATTCGAGATGAGTGGTAGTCATTCAACACCAACGACACTTGGGGGAAATGATACGGGATAACGAATCAAGAGACACTGAGGTCACAGAGGTCACCTGTCAGTATCAAGAGCTGTTGGATAAGTTGTATATGATAGATAAGATGAAATATAACATATCGTTAGATAAGGAGATACAGAGCCAATCATGGCCCACAAAGACTATGTCAAAAAATGTTTTGTTTGACTTTTGCAGAGAACGTCATCTTTCAAGAGATGCACAAAGAGACAGAGAACTCTGCGGAGGAGTCCTCTTCGCCCTACAATGTGTCCAGTAAATCCTCTGCCACAGGCACGGCGTCCCCTTCTTGTGAGGAGACAACGGGGACACAGGAGGCGTCTGAGTGACTGCCGTTACCACGATGAAGGCCCTGCGGCCGATGAGTTTATCGGGGCCAGTCATGCCCGCCACGGGGCCCGTGGTGCAAAAGGACCCGCAGGCGCAAAAGTCCACTCGCAGGGCCTGGACCATTTGAGCTACGTGTCCCAAAGGAGGGCCCGTTGCAGATGCAGAACTAGCGAACTAAAGAGAACCAGGACAGCTGGTGATGCAGGAAAAAGCACCCTCCTCAACGGGAGACTGGGCACCCACGGGAGGAGGGGGGCTCTCCCAGAGGATCTGTCGCTTGAGTCCTCCGCACAGTCTTGCCCTGATCTAGCGCACTCTGTCCTCGTGGTCGGATACACGCGTGTGCATGTACAGTCCAGAAAACGACACTTTGCACCTTAACGAAATGAGCATCGCAGTCGTTGTTATTTATGTAGATTTGTACAAAAAATGCATTTTTGGCTAAAGGGGAATTATTATGGTAACCCCCCCCCCTCCCTCAGGCGGACAGGAAGCACGGGCCTGATTTATGTCGGCGGTGTAGAACAGCCTCCGCCCAGCTGAGCGCGCCGGTCCTTCCCTTTAAAACGAGTCGCTGGGAAACGACGGCCGCGCGCTCCTCGTCGGGACCCACCGGCTGTTTATTGTGGGTCACGTTGTTGTCCCGTTTGATCTGACGAGACGGCAGGAGAAGGGCTTTTGGTATCGCTACTAATCGGATTTCCTTGACGTGATTGTGAGGCAGAGATCCTTGATCCGGGGGGGTAACATGTGGCCCATGTGGCGCTGAAATGATCCAATTCAAGGACGCGCTTTTTTTTTTTCTTCCTCTCTCCGACTAATTTATAGGATTCCGAGGACATCGGGTCGGATCCCGCGTCGCGCGAGTCTCGGGGCGTTTTTCGCAGCCTGAGAGAAGCGGAGGGGATCGTTATTCGGCCATTCGGCGACCGGAACGATGTGAGCGCGTTTGGATCCAGCGGGTTTCTCTCTGCGCCTCCTCCGAACAACAGAGCCGCTCACGATGCCGAGGGCTTTGCGCAGACTGGTCCACCTGGTGCTGTTCTGCCCTCTGTCCAAAGGTCTGCAGGTATGCGTGCGCAGCGGGATGCCACTCGGCGTCGTTTTGTTATGTTTGTTTGTTTGTTTGTTGCTGCCGTTAACCTCAGATGACTTGCATGCGTGTCAAACGTGGGAAATGTCTTCTGCGTGCACACGATGTGGAAAACACAAAAGGGATCGTGGAGAGGCTGCAGAACTATGAAAGCACCATTGTTGTGTAACATCCAGCATCCATTGGAGGATTCTGGTTCTTCTTATAGGCCTCAGTGGTGCAAGCAGCATGATGCTACGTTCATGGCCTGCTGTACTTTTCATTTTGAAAACTTTTGGGTAGACATATACACAATTGGAGTACCTTCTGCTTCAACTTCAGATAAATAGTGTATACTTTTCACTCCATGGTATTTATTTGACTGTTTCCTGCAAGTTGTGCTCAAAAGAATTATGAGCTTGCAAAGTAAAAGATTAGAAAACTTATTCTGATTTCAATTTCGCTTGTAATCCCCTTTTAAAAAAGAAGAGCTTGTCACGTCGGATGTCGATGAGCTGTTCAATGCAGTGATTAGACATCTCTCCTCTCCTCTGACAAGATTACTCGTAGAGCGCATTTCTCCAAAAGCAACGGTTAAAAAGAAAAGTCTGATCACTCAATTCAGAATTCTGTAGCGGAACTCCAGACCCCTCACATGTAATGTAAATGGGGAATGCATAATATTAAAAGTAGTACCACTAAGGCCATTAAAAAAGTTAACCATCATTAATATTACATATCAATTTCAGATATATTGGTTATATCCTGAGGTCATTGACCAGCTGTTGCATGCTCGGTCCTCATGTCTTCTCAGGTAAACCTGTGTTCCTTTTCCCTTCCCTCCGTCTTCCTTCCACAGACTCGTCTCCCCGCCGTTAAGGTGAAGTACCTTCTCCTGGCATGGCTGGGCATCCTCGTCGCCAGCTGGGTGGTCTACATGCAGTACGCCTCGTACTCTGAGCTCTGCCGCGGCCACGTCTGCCACGTGGTCATTGTGAGTGCGATCGCTCGGCGCGGTAACGTCCTCGTCCCCGGGACGCTACGGGGAAGCGGCGCAAACCGATGGGATACCATGTTAGCCGGGGAGAGACGAGACGGGGCTCGACCTTTCGCGGGTCGCCGGGTGGATGGTGAAATTCCGCCACGCGTCATTCTTGACGAGCTGTGACACCGAACTGCAGATCGTCCTGAGGCAGAAACAAGAACGCGGGCCACCATGATGTCACCGCTGCCGCAGTGCACTGCTTATTCTCCTAAATGCACGTGCAAGTAGATTATACAAGGGGAAATGTGGCAGGCCTACCGGGCAGGAGGAAGAGGGGGGGCGCTATTTCGGGGGTCTCTTCCTTAATACGAGGCCTCTGCCGCTGGGTGACGTTGCAGGAGAACTTCTCTCCTGCTGTTTCTACAGCATTAAGTGGCGTTGTAGGAAGTGTAATAAATAATCTGCCAGACGGATTCTTTCCCCTATGGCCGGAGATCTGTTTGTCAAATCCACAAAGATCGAATTGAGAAGCCGTGCGTTTTTTTTTTAAACGATCCTTCGGCACGTCTGTGCAGATGTGATGTCGCATCAGAACATCGTGTATCGACCGTTTCACAGTAGTCCTAAATGGGTCCCAGTTGTTTTTCCTGTTGCAATGTATGTCAATTAAATCATCTTTTCTGGCAGAACCTCAAAATATAAAGTATGAGCACCATATATTTCCTCTAACAGATTTTACTTTTTATTTTGGAGCACTCACGAAACGTAGCGTCAACCAAATGGTTTTGTGTGTGCAATGAAGTTCCCTTCCGGTTTCCTTTGCAGTGCGATCACTACAGAAGGGGCATAATATCCGGCTCCTCCTGCAAGGCGTTGTGCGATCAGAGAACTCTGACCTTGCAGCATTGCATGTCCACCTCCTCTACACGTCAGGTAAAAGGAAACACACTTTCAAACCACAACTGCTTTGCTTATATGCAAATAATAACCAGACACACAAGGATTTCACACGATGGATAGTGACACATTATCCTTTCATTATCCTGTTGAAATATAAGGCCTTTGGACATTTAGTATGGAATAATTCCCATAGAAATGTTTCAGAAAATATATATTGTCATAGAAGGGATTCTCTATAATTAAGGCACTGAATTGAGCAGCAAATCAGTTTACTTTTTAGTTCTTGCTAATTATTTTCTTGGAGGAAAACAGTGTGTTTTCCACAAAAAAATAATTTTATGGACAAAATGTTCAGACTACATTTAGTCAGACATGATCAATGTTGCTTGTTCGCTAGTGCATTTAATTTTTTTTTTTTTTAACTTTTAAATATTTTTAATTTGAACTAACTTTATTCTCTTATTTTATACTAACCCATAGCCTTATTCTACAAACCCATAGCATTAGCATTTTATTTTATCACTTGTGCACTGCTGTCTTATTGTTTATTTTTACTGTCTACTGTCACGCACCAACCGTCAAATTCCTTGTATGTATGACATATTTTGGCAATAAATGTTTCCTGATTCCTGAAGTTCATTTACTGCATGGTAAAGGTAAATCGGTGAAAAAAAAAAACTTTCAGCAGGCTGCATTTAAAACACTATATTCATTTGTACCACACGCTTACAGACGTGATCCCTCCGTCTCATGTCCTTATTTGTTTTACTTGCAGGTGTACGGCGGCCTGTGGAAGGAGGGACCCGTCGTGATCAAGTGTGGGATCGAGGACCCGGTGAAGACGGATGGGGCTCCCGACTCTGTGCTGCGGCAGGAGATGAGTTTATTCGACAAACCCACTCGTGGGACCTCGATGGACGAATTTAGAGAAATGCTGCACAGTTTTTTGAAGGTATTTTCTCCAGCAATCACACCACGTATAATTGTTACATATATATAGATCCATCCATAGATCTATCGATGTTGAACATATATGTAACCATCACCACATAACGCCTCCTTTTCGCAGGCTAACCTGGGCGAGCAGCCGTCCCTGAGCACCTTGGTGGACCGGGTCATCGTCCTCGCCGACGTCAACCAGGATGGCAAAGTGTCTCTAGCCGAGGCCAAGTCCATCTGGGCCCTTCTCCAGATCAACGAGTTCCTCCTGATGGTGGCGCTGCAGGAGAAGGAGCACGCCCCCAGGCTGCTGGGTTTTTGCGGAGACTTGTACGTAACGGAACACGTGGGCCACAGCTCCCTCTACAGGCTGGAGGTGCCCCTCTACCTGCAGCCTCTGGTCCCGGAGGCCCTGAGCTCCAGCCTGAACCACTGGCTGGCACCGGCCTGGCCCCGCAGGGCTCGCATCACCATCGGCCTGCTGGAGTTCGTGGAGGAGGTCTTCCACGGGTCCTACGGCAGTTTCCTGATCTGCGACGCAAGCCCCCGCCACGTGGGCTACAATGCAAACTTTGACTGCAGATGGCCGACCTGCGCAGCGTGGCCTCCGAGGCGGTCGTGCGGGCGTATTTGAGGGGCCGTCGGTGCGAGACCAACGGCGACTGCACCTTCGGCCGGGACTGCACGGCCACCTGCGACCGGCTGGTGAAGCAGTGCAACACGGAGGTCGTGCAGCCCAACCTGGCCAAGGTGTGCGTGCTCTTGCAGGACTTTCTGCTTTTCGGAGCGCCTGCAGACCTGCGGGGGGACCTGGAGAAGCAGCTGCGCACCTGTGTGACGCTGAGCGGTCTGGCCAGCCAGATGGAAGTGCACCACTCACTGGTCCTCAACAACCTGAAGACGTTGCTGTGGAAGAAGATTTCTAACACGCAGTACTCTTGAAATCGGGTTGAGATGATCGGGCCTGTACAGCCTTTATTTGAAGCGAGTGAACTTGGCCAAATGATTTCGGGGGTGGTGGTTATTCATGTGTTTTCTAAAGCATTTATTTGAGAAGCACATCCGTTTGTACAAAATATTCTCAGGGCGCTGCCTTTAACATTTAATGATAATAATCTGACAATTTAGTTTTCAAAATGTCATCTGGTCATTTCCTAGAAGCAGAATGTCAAAATTTGACAGTGCCATTTTTTGTAAAAATGTAAATATTAGAATGTTCTTGTTTGCCGTTTATTAATGAATCTTCATGTGAAGCAGATGTAGAACACAAATAAGACAATGCATATATACAGTTGCACTGACATGTCTCTCCTGTTATGTATCTGTATCTGATATCAATGTCTCTGATCAGACATTAAACATCAGTGAACTTTAAATTCATGAATAAACGGGAGTTGGTTGACTATTCCTGTAGTTTTATTTCCACAAGAGGCTTCATGAAATGCTGTCGAACATTCAGCAATTAATGTGGAAAAAGAATCATGTTTGCATCATTTATATTTAGATAAACCTATTAAAACTACAATTTAATGTTTTAGTCGACAATAATTTGCATATGAACGTTTTAGCTGTGGCACAATGTGTTTTGTGCAGCCAGTGACCTTGACCATCAAATACTAATCAGTTCATTATTGAGTACAAATGGATGTAAAACTCCCTTCAGGCGGTCAAGAGTTTTCACACAAATAGTACGTACAGACAAACGAGAACAAAAGCCTGAAGCCAAGGCTGCAGCAGAACAATAAATGAATAAACCAGAAGACAAACGTCGCATCCTGAGACCGCATCCTGTCCACACTGAACTCCGGCTTCCCGTTTTATCTTCCAAATGAAAACGCAAATGATGAAAGGGAGCCGCAGACTTATTTCTTTTTTTTCTTTAAATGCATTTTTGCCCCTCTCTTCAGAACATATGTCACGAGCTCGACGTGGGCGGCGCCGAAATGCCGTGCAGCAGCTCCATCCGTCTGCGCTTGTCCTTGGCGCGGTTGATGGTCATCGTGAACAAGCGACAGTACATCTCCATAGCACAGGGGGTGTCGTCGTTCCCCGGCACCGGGTAGGTCACCAGGCACGGGTTGCAGTTCGAGTCCACCACGCCGACCGTGGGAATGTTCATCTTGGCCGCGTCCCGGATTCCCACGTGCGGCTGAAACACGTTGTTGAGGGTGGAGAGGAAGACGACGAGGTCCGGCAGGCGGACACCCGGGCCGTACTGGATGTGGGCGTTGGTGAGGAGGCCGCCCTGCCAGTACCGCGTGTGGGCGTACTCGCCGCAGCTCTTGGCGGCGTTCTCCACCAGGTGGACGAACTGACGCTGGCGGCTGACAAACAGAATGACGCCGCCGCGATACGCCACGTGGGCGGTGAAATTCAGGGCTTGCTGAAGGTGCTCCACAGTCTGGTCGAGGTCAATTATATCTTGGTCCAAGCGGCAGCCATAGAGGTACGGCTCCATGAGCCTGCTCAAAACAAGAAGAGGAGAATTAGATTCAGGTTTAAAAGTAAGAGTCACTGCAGCATTTTTCCAGGTCAGATATCCCTCAATTTAATATTGACTTATTGATCGGTCCACTGTAAACTCAAATAAACCATTTCCTGTTCAGCTTTGTTTCTGTGTTGTGGTTATCTAATGTTAACACAGAAGTATCAATAGCAAAGACAATGTATTTTATTTGCTTTACCGTGAGAACCATTAGGTAATCATATCAAATATTAAGTGTACAGTGTCTTTATTAGCACACCTCACTTACCCATATAATTCATGTCGTAATTCTCTTGTACAAGCCCTAACATTATTCTATTATATTTTACATACCGCCTATTATTTATTCTGTTAATTTGTATTTCAGTTATGTTACTGCCGCAATAACTATTTCCTATTGGTTCAGGAGGCACACTTAACAAAAAAGAATGAAAGATGTTAACACTTGTTACACATTAAAACAGCAGTGCTGCAATAAATACAGGAGTAATATTATGTAGCCTGTTATTAACATATTTTCTGGGAGTTGAGAATATTGGTGTTTCCCTCTGGATTGTCATGACGCTGAGGAGCAAAAACTGCTTTATTTAACTCATCACTGGAACTATTAGGCTTTCGGAAATTGTTTGGAAAATTGAATTTAACATTTTGACACATGTAGCGAGCAAGCACATTTAGAGCGCAAAATAAGAATATACATTTCTTTTTGGTCAGTATGTGCCTGTCTAAAAACCTAATGAACATGTATTCAGGAAATCTGACTACTCGTACGCTGACAAGGAAATATTTCTACTGTACAAGGAGATTTTCTGAAACAAAAGTTTAGAAATATCAATATTTGAGGTATCATAACATTTTCTTAATATTTCCAGACAGTGGTATATGGCAATAGATCATATATCATTGACTGGAAATATTAAGAAGTAATTTTGTAAATAAAATATATATAATGCTATATATATATATATATATATTATATGCTGAAAATATTACATTTTCTGTACAGTAGTCAGAGAGGTCGTGAGCACACGCAGCAGTCATTCAACAGCGTTTATTCCGGTCACATGTCAGCATATAGGTGCCTGCAGTGTCGGAGCAGAAACAGACACCCACCTGTGTCTGCACCCTTTCTTATGGCCCAGGTGCACTCTGGCGTCGAAAAGGTCTTTCAACGAGAAGAGTTCCGACACACGGAAGAAGTCCGGCTTCTCGAGTGGCTGGTTTATCACCTTGTCTGTATGAAGGATAAAAACGATACTAAAAGTCTGGTTTGAAATGATAAAACAAAGTTTTGCTAACAGTTTGGCATTCGTTAGCTCACCTGAAACATCGTCAACTTTGAGTTGGGTGGCTTCGGCGGACGCTGCGGTGGCGTACTGGTGCCCCCCACCGGGGTAACCGGCCGCCACAGCCCGCGAGGGTCGTATCCCCCAAAGCCCTGGATATTAAACGCACATTGTTGTATCGGTCACGGCATCGGATCAACAAGCGAGTTAGCAACCGTCAGCTGCTAGTTACGCCCCCAGCTAGCTGCTAGCGAGGAGCTAGGCAACCGGTTAGCTGCTAGCGAGGAGCTAGGCAACCGGCTAGCTGCTAGCGAAGACCCAGGCAACCGGCTAGCTGCTAGCGAAGACCTAGGCAACCAGCTAGCTGCTAGCGAAGACCTAGGCAACCAGCTAGCTGCTAGCGAAGACCTAGGCAACCAGCTAGCTGCTAGCGAAGACCTAGGCAACCAGCTAGCTGCTAGCGAAGACCTAGGCAACCAGTTAGCTAACGCTACATACGTTAACTGTACAATAAATCACTAAAAGAAAATGGCCAAACAGAATAATTCCACAAGCGGTCTATACATATAAAAAGGTGCGACACAGACCCACAATATTCAGACATTTTTTTTAAATAGTTAAGTGCAGATACCTTTCGTAAGTGCCCGTGCAGCCATGCTTTCTTGACGAGTCCCCCAGAAGGTCAGCCGGCTGCGCGTCTGTAGTTCGTCGGCTGCCGTAAAGCAGCGGTGATGTCGTGACAGTTTGACAGAGACTACAATACCCAAGACGCCAAAGCCTTATTTTTAACTTCACAACTTTATTAAAAAAAAACATAAACGTTGTGTAACAAAAGGTTGAAAGAACATAGACCAATGTTAATGGGAATAAATTACTCAAGAGGAACAAACGAAAATAATGAAAAAAGCTGTAGTATCAGAAATAGTTATTAGTATCCATGTGGTCCATAACATGCCAATGATATTTCTAAAATAGCAACTAACAAATAACTGTTCACCCTAAAATATTCATATTTTTGTCCAAAACTGCAACTAATAAAAACCCTGCATTTGCTACATTAACAAGCAAACTTTGATTCGAACATTTTAAACTATCACTTTAATATTGAACCTGCAACATTACAAAATGGGATTTTTGTTTTCTTCAAAAATGCAGCTCAAATAGAGAAATTAAAAAATGAGGAATTAAAATTGAACACAAATAGGAAACATCGAATCAAAGTGCTAACTCAACATAAACAAACATCCGCTTTTTGATGAAGTGCAAAGTTATTATACATTTGAATACCCAACAACTGAAACTCGGTAATATCCAATATTATCTGCATAAATATTTCAAATGCAGAATTAAGTTTTATTTGGTTATGATGCAGTGTGGTGCACCTGCCTCATTTTTCCTGAAAAAAAAAAGATGAGATGAGTTTCATGAGACAGAGATCACTCAATGTGGAGACCGAACACACACACACCTGTTCACTGGGATGAACTGAAGTCGTTTTGTGACGCGCTGCAAAGCCTTGCTCTTCACTGCAGAACCACGGCGAGGAGGAACCACCTGCAAGTATCGTGGCATACAAGTTTCTCACTCTAAATATGGACAACTTTTTTTTACAAATAGCTGGATGGGACGGAAAGGCCAGAACCCCTCTTCACTGGGGGGGCTGTTGAGTTTTGCTTAGTCGCTACTGAATATCTAATCTCTTCATAAATAGCGCGGCAAACGGCACCAGAGCCTCGTCTCTAGCGGTACCTGCTTGCATCTCTCAGCCTGGTAACTCCTGCTGTACATCCTGCTTCTCTCCTCTGTGGTGAGAGCTATGCAAGGTCTGAAGGTGATGCCCGGGTCAATGGCACTGGACAAAGACCTGGGCAAGGCAAAGCAGGACACACGTCAGACCAACTCCCAGCGAAGATCCATCCCACAGTCCATCTTAAAGCCAGTGAACGCAGCGCATACAGTGAGCTTGTGTTGCTATAAGCATTGCTGTGATACATAAGTAATGAGGGTTAGGAAGACCAATTGTCTCTCGTATTCCACTCTTTATTACACAGATGCACTTAAAAGACACGGCAAAAGTTTTGTTGTGTTTTTTCTTCCGAAAGAGTAAAAGAAAAAAGAAACACTTCTTAAAAAATATTTACAAAACCTGGCAATGCACAGCATGTTCAGTAACCTTTCGTTTTCTCGATAAACAAAAATAAATAGCCTTTTTTTTTTTCCACACAGGGAATTGCAGAAAGCTTCAACATGACAAAGAAATGAACACACTACATATAAAGTTTAGCAAGACAGATAGGAGTAACAAGGTGGTTTCTGTGGAATCTAGAACAACAACAAGAGGTAAGAAGTCCAAAGACTGTTATAGTGGCTTTCATCAATAACGGAGCTTCAACCTCCTGTCTGTAAATTTAAACCAAGAGCACGGTGACAAAACAAACATCAGGAAGTAAGTACGATGACATGAGGACCGCATTGTAGTCCGGAAAGGAAACACAACTGTTCCAGAACCAAATGCTGCACTGAGATTGCTCTTTTAGAAAGAACTTTCACAAATTATTAATCAAGCTTTAGCCGTGTGGGGCGACGGCGCAAAGACACATGTTGGGGGAGACGACATATTTTAAACAGTGATACCTATGATAAATGGTCGGCGTGGTAGAGTTTGGGCAGGTAGCAGCAAGGTTAAAAGTGTTACGCCAGATAAAGGTCATCCCTTGGTAGCATCGACTGGTATTTTTAAAAATGACAAATCCAACAATGAGCATTCAGGAATATCGGCATTGTTTTTTTATGTATGCAAATGCGTGTTATAGAAAATAATATTTGGGCCGTATTGCTGCATTCCTCAAGTATTTTTGATTAAGGGTGCAGCAGAACTAGAAAGGATCTAGTCGTTTACTGGACATTTTGCTTTCTGGGTGGTGGAGACATTTTACAACTTTTAAACCATTGCACATAGGAGAACGTAATGTAAACCCACATATCACAGGTAAAATAGGTAAGATATGTGATAATACCAAGTATTTAGTGTTACATTGATAGCTTGTGTTGTCCCTCTGCTAAATTAAAACAATACATACGAATCCTAAGCATTCGGGTCAATCTTGAATTTTTACTCTGTCATTTGTTATTTCTCTGGTCATTTTATTTTTACATTAAAGCTGGAAGATATGTAAGAGGATATCGTTTTCTGCAATTAACTAGTCAGCATTTTGATAGCGGTACTTCTCGCGAAGCCTGTATTGCTTTTCAAAGGTATCATGATGATATTAATTAATCTCAGAGCACAAAAAAAAAGTCTGTCACGATGGTGCTATTGTGTTACATTGCCGTATAGATGTACAAACACATTTAAAATGTCTCATTGTACGAACAAACATTCCCTCGGAGCCTGTAGATGAATGAGCTCGAACATAACCTACATTAAATCCATAAGTAATGAGGAAATGAACTCGTAGAAAACTGGCTTATGACGCTACGGCCATACTTACAACGTGGGAAAGCCCTGCTTCTTCTCGTGACTGCTGCTGCTGCCTGACTCATCTATAAACTCCTCGTCTGTTCTCGCTAGATGCACAGGTTTGATGTCTATCTCCACGCTCGCCTCTTTTTCTCGCTTTATCTCGCAGAGCGCGCTCGCTCCCTCCTTTCCCTCGCTCCTCTCCCTGCTTCGAACCTGGACGTGGTTGGTCCTGTTGGACTCGAGTTCGACAAACACACTCTTATCCTTAGACATGTGCACCATGCTCTCCCTCTCTCCCCCTGCAGGGCGCTGTAAACTGTGGGCGGGCGCGAGGCTACTTGCAAAGGGCGTCCTCGGATGCTGCCTGGCACTGGACAAACGATTCAAAGGAGGGGACCTGAACTTGGTATTTACATTGGTCTCTGCAGAGCAGGGGAAAGGTGCTCTGGTGGTCTTCGCGGCGGACCAGGCAGTCACCGGTGTCTGTGATTTGTGGCCCCCGCTTTGACACGGCGGAGCCCCTGAAGCAGTCTCGCTGAGTTTTGCGGAAGTCATGTGGAACGGAGTTCGACTGGTAGTCCTGGCGTCGGTGGCGGGGAGCCCCGGGAGCCCGAGGCTCTGGCGCCACTTGATCGACTCCGCGACGTTGGGACTCGGCCGAACCCTCTCGACCTGGGGGGCGACGCCCTGGCCGTCCCCTCGCCCGGAGCTCGGCCTCCACTGCTCGGCCCGAGCGACCCAGTCCGCCGTTTCCAAAAGACTGGGGCTGCGGGTCTGGGACGGCAGCACGCGTGCCTGTGCGACCTCGGCAGCGGCGACGACCTCCGGCGGAGCCGGAAGACGACGGTTCCTCGCAGGAGATTGCCCCCAGAGAGGAATTTCAGCCTGCTGACCTTCCTGCTTGATGTCTTTTTCCTCAAGCGCTGTAGAAACCGGGGCAGTTCCGTTCCTCGATACGTCTTTACCTTTCTCTGCGGTGGAGCCTTTGGCCTTTTCGGCGAGGAACCTTTGGATCTCTTCCTCGATGCTATCGTCGCTGTCTTCTGAGCTGCTGTCTTGCTTTGTCTCAAGAGTAGGCGGTGTGTGGTGTGGCAACGGGGTGTCTCGACACCCCACTGCGGGTTCTCTTTCACGTAGCTCATCACGCTCGTTACTCTTGCTGAGGCGTTTATGTTGTGAAATGCTCTTTTTACTCAACACCACCTTGTCTTTCATATCAATCTTACTCTTTTCCAATTCTTTCAAAAGATCGCGATTGGGAATTTTAGCTTTAAACTTTTTGGAAGCATTTCCCAGCTGTGGCTCTTCGTCCTTGGGACCCACCCTTGATTTCCGCTTCAAGTCCCTTGTTTTTTTCTTTGACTTCTTTTTTGTTTTGAGCAGGGCTTTTATCGCGGTGTCCAAGTCCTCATCGCTGTCAAGTGAGCTGCTTTTGTCCCCACCTTGCTCCGTCTTGAACAGTCGAGCTGTTGAGTGGGTTTGACTGCCCTGGCTGAATAACAGTGGGCTGAATTCTTGTCTCTGCTCGAGTGACGCTTTAGGGGGCGTTTCTCTGACATTGTTCTCCGTCCCCGACGTGAGGGAGACGCTGCAGTTTTCCCCTTTGTGTTTTCGTCTCTGTGCCAAGGACAGTCTCGAAGGTCTCTTTTGGATTGCGGCTTTCGCTCTCTCCGGTTGACGTACAGGCCGAGGCTGTAGTGTCTCAGCGTTGGGCAGCTGTTGGTGCATCTGGGCCTTCTGCTCGAGGAATCTCCTGATTTCTAGCTCTATCCCGTCTTCGCTATCGATGGAAGTGCTATCGCTTTCTTCATCCGCGCAGTGTTCGGGGGGCGACGATTGCAAGGAAGATTCGGTAGGGGTGCAACTGCTGAGGCCAACGCTATGATGGAAGGCCTCGGGCATGACCGTTTTTGAAATGTCCAGTATCGCCTCGGCACACATGAGCTCTGCAGTTGTAGTAGCCTTTGGAGGGGCGAGCGTCGGGTGCTCCTTGAAGCCATCTCCTTTAAACAAAAGCAATCGGTTTCCTTTGCCGTTTGAGCCTTCTGGAACGGTGCTCTTGGGTACGAAAACAGGAGGAGGGGGTTGAACAGATCTGGCTTCCCGCTCTGCTCTGGTCTTTTTCTTTCTCAGTTTGTGTTTCCTGGTGCTTTCCGTGCGTGTACGTGCAACAGCGCGTATCAATGACTTAGCAAAAGGTTGTTGCTTGTGCACGGATGGCTTCAGGACGCTCTTCCCTGTTAGCTGCTCCAGCTGGTAGGAACGAATGGCTTCCTCAATCCCGTCATCGCTGGTGGAGTCGGACTCTTCTTCGAAAGCGCGTGGGTCGAAAGTTTCCGTTTTGTGCTGCTGCTGCCCTTTTTTCTCCAGCTGGTATCTCTGAATGGCTTCCTCGATGCCGTCGTCGCTGCTGGAATCATTTGACTCTTCGTCTACCGTAACCGGGCACTTTGCTTTGCAGAAGAGGCCGAATGTTTGAGAGGCGTGACTCGTCTGCTCGTTGGACGAGACCAAACCTTTGTTAGTCGTACTTGAATGCAATTTCTCAAGTGCGTTGTCATCTAGGAGGACCCTGTTTTTGATATACTTCTTTATAGGTATAACAACTGATGCTGTTGAAGTATCAGCTTCAATACTCTTTGGAAGCTGGCTACTGGCAATGGAAAACCCATTGCTGTCCGAGATCTGCTTGAAGTCCTCAGCAGCGGATGGGCTTTTCCTGGATATTTTGGATGATTGGAGATAGGCTAAGCATGGTTCCGCCTTGCGTTTGTGATCGTCCTTTTCCTTCAGGTATTCCAATATAGCCTCCTCGATACCTCGGTCCACAGAATCATCGCTGTCAGAGTCACTTCTGGCGTGGTCGATCGGGGCATTATGATCTGAGACTTGGTTTTCTGTGGAACCTTTAGTTCTGGAATTGGGGCCCACGTAAGAAGCCCCTGCAACCTTGCAGACTCGGGGATGACCATCGTGTCCCGGTGGCACATGCTCCTCGATCTCGTCGCCCATCTCGAGTGAGGACTGCGTGCTCCTAAGGCTCTCTATGATCATTTGGACCTTATCTGAGATAGGTGTGCCTCTGGTGGACAACTCGGTGTCAGAGTCATTGAAGCAGATCGGAAGGCTATAGCCTCCAGGTGGGCCACATGTTCTCCATTTGGTTTGTGTAGTTGCCACAGGAGGCACATTCATCAAGTACATTCTAATGGAGGTGAGGTCCTGGACCGTCGGAGTGCAGCTGCCTCCAAACCCAATCACATTGTTCGATCTGACAAGTAAACAGAAAGAGAGAATCAGTGACAGGAAAGTCCCACACATCAAGTGCAGAGTTTTTGTGGGAAAGATAAGCAGAAGTTTACACTTTTGAGTAGACAATACTGATGGAGACACCCTGAACATGGTGTAAATAAATGATTTACCGCGGAGGAAGTCAATGTGACCATTCTGCAGTACTTTATTAAAAGGCTGCATTGTTGTAGTGTCATTACAATGTTAAAATAATATGGTGCTGCGCGGTTCTGTATTAGTATGTGATTTGAGGAATATTTGAGAGATTTCAATGGCTGTGTGAGCAGCACGTGCGATGCCTGCAGCGTATTCACAGTAAGAGCCTTAAGGTGGCTTTAGTCAGTGCCTCAGTCCAGTTTTGGTCCCTCGGCCAAATTGCTCGCATAATTATTACGTCAGTAATTGTAGGCTCAGTCAAGTGCATCAAAGTAATTCCTCAACTAAATGGAAGTGGACCAAGAGTTGGAATCAGTGATGCCCGAAAGACCTACAGAACGGGTTCAGGTACATTCTGTCCCACTGAGGGAACGAATGGACTTCATTACAGCTCTGATGGATTCTGGCAAATAACCCCGGGTCTTTTGGCTATAAAACCATAGGAGAATGTTAAAATAAAAAGGTTCCCCATCCCCAGATCAAGTGGCCTCTGGGGCAAATATAACTGGCCGCGTCCATCTCTATAAATGCTTGTAGTGGATCTAAAGCGAAATTACAACTAAAATATTTCAGTGAAGTTTATTTTGACCCCCCCTCTACCAGACAGGAGTTTAGATTAAATAAAAGGTGGAGCATATTACCAAGTAAATTAGATATGAATCAAATGTCTGCGACGTTAGAATGAGAGTGTAAAAAAACGCTCAGAATGCTTTAAGCAGACAACTCTGGTTAGTTAACAACCGTGTATTAATAATTCACATACAAATAACGCAACGTTTTAACTTCCGGACAAAAATATATGAAACAGATATTTCACACCCCGTGTTTATGTAAAGCTTTCGGTGGCTAACGTCTTTAAAAAAACCTTTAAGATATTATAGCTGTAGGAACTGATGCGACAGGTTTGTTAAGGGGAACCAAGAGTGTGACAGTTTAACAGCCACTGTACTAATTATTATATAATTATTGTGTTAAATTAACCAACTGGTCTTTATCACATTAGATCCCCCTATGTCTCATTTTCAGTTTTAGCTGAACAATAATTGTTTTTTAAGCTCTCATTGGCGGACAGGTGTGCACAACACTGAAAATGTAGTAAAGTTTTCACTTCATGATCAGTCTGGGATGCTGGACCACTGTGGGACAAAGGACACGAGTATTTAAATCGTAAATGCAAATACCCAAATTGTGTTAAACTTAAGTATCACCTGCAAACTGCCCTTCGATTGTTAGAGTAAAAACGCCGCGCATGCAGGAGGACGGACACGGTTAAACACGCTATTAATAAAAAGGCTTTACTGCGTCCTTCTTGCGCAAGAGTTCGAAGAGGCTACGGGTCCCCGCGAGGCTCAACCGCAGCGGCAACGTCGCACTCTGAACCGAACGCGCCGGCGGAACCGGTCCCGGCGACGGCCGCGGCCGCAGCAGCAGCAGGTTCACCTCCAGGAACAAAGCACGCAGACGGACATTGAGCCGCCGGGGAAGAGTCGCCACGCAGCGGCTTCTGCGCTAACGCGGTTGAAACGCGAAGCAGCTCGGTACGCACCCGCGTAGGAAGATTCAGGCGCCGAGAGACGACACGTCCGACTCCCGCCCCCCAATAAAGGGTGAACCGTGGTGGAATTGTTATAAATACAATAAAGTGAGACTAACTACGGGGGAACCAGGATGGGTAACGAACGACGCCCAGCTGAAGGGGGGGAAAAAACCCCGCCGAGAAGCACAAAAAACGTGCTAAAATAACGTTTGCACAACGTATTCGGGTGGCAACTTAGTTTGACATATTATGTACGAATAAAGTTTCACCAGACCTGCCGACATTAGTGGGTAGTATTTTATGCATTACATAAACGATCGTGTGGTTGCTCATATCCCCCCTCCGCCCTCCCTCCTTTCTCCCCTGACGCTTTCCTGGTTGCGAGCGAGAAACCCCGGTAGTCCCCGTAAGCCTCTAGCGGCGCGGAGTGCATCGCTGGCCGGGGTGCGGCGCTAGGAGACACCGCTAAGCAACCATGTTTCTGGGTTCCGGCCACGGTTGTCAAAAAAAAAAAAAAAAAAAAGCCCTCGATGTTCGGTTGGCAACGTAAATAATGTCGCGGGACGCTCCGGCGCGAAATAGTACGGTTAACATTCGGAACACGGAGGAGTTCGAAGGCGGGAGGGAAGATTCGGGAGGGATAACCGTCGCTAGCAGTCGGGGACTTGAAAGACACGGGCGGGCCTCTCGGCTGCTGCAGCCCCGGCATTTTCTCCGGCGAAGAAAGGCTTTGTATTGAGCCGCGGCTTTACCCTCCTAGCCGCGGCTATTTTTCCTACAACACACACGGGGGAAGCACACAACAACAACAACAACAACAACAACCACAAAGCAGCAGACGTTTCAACTCACTCTGACACGAAAAGCACCTCCGCTTGGGTGAGAGCGGGCCGGTCGCGGCGGCGAATCGGGACGTGGAGGGGAGCCGTCGCGCAGGCGGTAATGTCGGTGTCCTGCAGCCCGATGAGTCCCCCCTCTCTGCCGCTCCCCGACGCCGGGCGGGCCGGCGGCTTCCTCAAACCCAAAGTCCAGCCCCTGCGGCCCAGCCGAGCGGGGACGCTTCCAAATAAGACACCGGCTTTGTTTTTTGTCATGTGTTGCGGTTACATTTTCGTGTTTTTGCATTTGAATTTAAAAAAGAAATTAAAAAAAAAGAGTGATGTGTAATTTTGATAGTTAATTCCGCATGGATGAATAAAAACGTGAGTTCACCCTTTAGAAATACTTGTTATAGTATCAAAGTTTTATTTCCCACGTGGAAGTGGTTTGATGTAACTCCAGGTAACAGAATTCAACTGTTTGTAAAATACAATCCCATTTACCAGCAGACAAATGTAGTGTATTATTATAATATATGTATTATTCAGACAGGCCAAAAAGCCAATGTGCTCCATCCAAACCAATTGGAGTATTCTAACCTTCTCTCTGGGTTTTTAATTTAATGCAAACATTTCAATATCCCTCAAGATCCAGGATATTATATATTGTTTTCATTTAGTTAGGTTAGTTAGTTTAGTTAGTTTGCCCCCAAAACCTAAATGCATATTGGTGATCAATGCAAGGTTTACGAAAGCTAAATACACTTAGATGAGCTTAAACATATCGGTTAATGGTGCAAATGTATTTATTGAAAAGGTATATTTTAAAACATTTGTCCGTCTCTGTTAGATTCCCCACTTTGTCTTTGAGGAGAATTCATTCCCAAGAGTTGTGTGCGATCCACGAGTAAGTCACATTTAAATGCAACATTTGCGTCTTGACATTCATGAAAACCTCTTGAAATACTTCACAAAAGGACGTCTTTGTTAAACCATCTTTTGATTTGACATACAAAAAAAATGAATCTGTTATTTACTGTTGTTGCCGTGTGTGTAGAGTGTGTTACAGTTGGACGGCTTTCTTTCCGGGGTCCCAAAAAGCAACACTGCGCCTCGAGAGGCGATTCATCCATCAAAGTGTCCGGCTGTTTGTCTTCTGTTTGTAAGCATCCTGTTCTCTTAGACACGCAGTGGAGTGGACTTTACCATTTGACTCAAATTTAACCCTCTGTGGTTTTCTACATCAATTAATTGAATAATTGATTAAGCGTGTTTTCTATGAACTGTCTAACAACATTGGAACAAAAGCCATCGCAACTTCTCAGAACACAATGTAACGACTCGATTGTCAAAAGTCCAAAAACACACAAAGAGCAAATGATCCCAAAAAAATGGAAAACATTATTGAAATGACTGGTTATCAACATGGTGGAAGATTATTTGTTTCAGCTCTAGAGGAAATTAGTCGATATTACATGTTTTAATTTGCAACCATCTTTTCTTTTTGACGAACATAATTAATTAAAAAAATAATAATAATAAAAACATTTATTTGGCTGATTTACTGTTGATGACAACAGTGACTAGGATTGTCTCTCCATAAATCGACTCACTGCCACTGGGGGTTTCTTCATGCTGTGCAATGACCCACACGATCCCAATTCACACATCCACTTCTGCAATTCTCCAAGGTGGGATTTCATCTTTTTGCAATCCATCATCTGAACCTCCTCTGCTCCTCCTCACCCTGTGCCTGACCCTGTGCAGTAGGGTCTCTCACTTGAACGTATAAACATATAGATATAAATCTATTATCCTAAAGTCAAGAGCCGGCAAAATGAGATTTAAAAAAAACTCAATAATGGAATCGATGCAATTGATCAATTGCATAACATGTTGTGTGATTATGATAAAAACGGTTCTGTTTAATTATACGGCACAGCAAACAGATGTGGTGGTTTTGCATTATATGAAGTTGAACTGTTTAAACCGTTGCCAACGTTTGTCTATTTGCCAGTTAATTATGATCCTACTTCATTAAGATGGAGATATCACGTTAAACCTACAAAGCTGCTCCTCTTTTTGTTAATGGCTCTCATCTTGCACCCCAACACTTGCTGTCATTAAGAGATATTTATGGATGAGACTTCAAGTACATTTCTCCCTGAATTCAGGTTACGTTTGGATATGTAAAAATATAATTCCTACTCTGACTCTTTTGTAATCTTTCAACGTGGGAAACATGTTTCAGAAACACATTTCTAGGCATTCAGAAGTGTCGATTTTTGCTCGTATTGTGTTTTGATCAGCCTGTCCCCTCAGGACGTATTTGCAGCATGACGTAAATGCTCCGTGTCGTTGGACTGCAAGAAATGAGGTGAACAAGTTGGCCCCGTTCGCATGGCAGTGAGAGCACAAGCAGCACCACAATAACCTGGTTGGTTCACACCTTAGAAATACACTTTGCCTCGTTCCTTCGGTGTTTTGACTTGCATGCAAATGAGCTAAAAATGGGCCTCTTCTCTTTAGTTGGAGATAATTGAATTGCGCAGAAGGCAGAGGACCACGTCAGCTTATAGACCGCCGTTGTTCATTTGCTGATAGAACAAAAGGCCTGATGGAAATACGAAGCCGTCTCCGTCCCTCCTGCTGCTTCTTTTGCCAAAACCTGCAGCCTGCCGAGGGAGTTTGGGCACAAAAGTTGCCTGAAGGGCAAGTGAGGTTCAGCACCACGGACAGCAACGCTGCTCACGCCGGCATCGAACGGGGAGAATATGGGGAGCATTTCTGATCACCACAGTTGTTAAATTCAACTTTGTCATGAATCCTTTGCCATCCTCATATATGTTGGGGCTACTGCTGCTGTAAGTCAGCTGAATGTCGATGCAATTAATGACAATATATTTTAGAGGACGATTGTGGAACTCAAAACATCTTGAACCTTGAGCCTCACATTAAAAGGTGTATTAGCGTTAATATAGTGATTCAAACTGCTCTGAAACGGTTGTAATTAGATTAGTTCGGTCTCGAGTGGGTGTTTGTTGCAAAAGTAGAGCTACATCAATTTGACCAACTCTTGCATGCTCACTCAAATTAAACCCATCTTTTGGTGGAATTTAAGTAAAAACTGCAAAGTAAAGTAAAAAAGTAAAAGAGGGAAGCACGCGGAGAAGCACCTGAAGCACTCTGCATAAACACACGGGTTTGATCGATTGATCTGGTTTTCTCATCTAAGGTTTGCTGAATTAAAGTCCAGATCAAATGATAAAGCAATTCAAGTCAATGTCCATCCATACCAATTACAGTATAAATACATATTGTTCCTGCCATTTCTACCACCAGATGGCGCTGAAGTCCTGGGAAAACAGAAACCATGCACTTGCCCGATTTAATAATTGATTTTACACAACTATAGAGAACGTTTTAGAGAAAGTGTGCATCAAGACGATCGATAAAATGCACAAAAACTAATAAAAAACATTATTATGAAACGTAAACGTGTGTGTGCTAGTGAACATACACATATTAAAAATGGGTCTTTCTCCACTTTATATATATTTGTATATTCCGGGTTGAACAACAACTGGCCAATTTTGCTAAAAGAAACATTATGCACTTAATGTTCTGCAGAGTTGATCATCTGTAGTCATTAGAACATATATTTCTTAACTTATTTATTAAGTTTAACCTCTTCAATGCCTTTAAAAAAGCAAGTTAAATTTCTCTAGGCGGATCATTTAATCCTTCAGGGGGCAGCAGAGATCCGCTGTGGTGCCTCAGCTTTTTTCCCCTGACAGTATTTGTGGTGTTCAAACCAGAGAAAGTAAAATACATCCCTAATATAATACAATTTCTCTGCTCTCATCCTGAATCATTTCCTCAAAGGAGCTTGATAACCTGATGTGACGGCTGATGTTTATTAACCAAAATAAAACTGATCCAGAGCTCAAAACGCCACTCAGTGGGGCCATTATTTTTCTTAATGTAGCTATCAAACACCAAACGTGCACGCGTCCTGCTGCCATGAGTGTTTATTCAGAGCTGGTGATCTGGGAGAGGAACTCTCTGCAAGTTCAAATGGACATTTTCTGCAGAAATGGGTGCAGGTCTCCGCTCGAGCTTGTCAGTGAACCTGTCATTCCACACAGTCGGCATCATGGGCTGAAGCCGAGCCAACACTGAAGGCAGTAATCATAGAGAAGGCACAGAGAGAGAGAGAGAGAGAGAGAGAGAGATGAGGTATGTGCACACAAACAACAAGTGTACAATAGTGATAGGTGACAGGGGAAAAAAGAGCTCGAGCCCGATTCTGCAGAGGAAGGGAAAGCGGAGGTTTTGCAAAGATGATGTTCAGAGAGAAAGCCAAGACCCTAGCTGTGCCCCTGCTCCCACTCAGCACACACATATGCACACACGCAGGTCCACCCACACACAAACAGTGGGCCAGCAGTGATCTGTGTAAACAATAAAATGAATAGTTGCATATTTAAGCCGAAGCAGAAACAGCAGGAATAATTATTGCCATATATTGCTTGTACAAACAGCAGAGACGTCCAACTCCATCACAATTCTTAAATTTGCATTAAACTCAGAATTGGAGGCCATATCTCAGAAAGAAAAATATTGTTAGAAGCGTGAATAAAGGCAGTCAGGCTTCTCCAGCTAACTTTGCAGACGTGTGGAACTCTGTGAGTGTGTGTTGCATTTTAATAGCCAATGTGATACATATTCAATTAGAATACTTTGATACCCCTGTGGCCAATTATGTAATTTCTGTAGGCACATTCATAATTAATAAAGATACCTAAAGACCATATAGGATCTGTTTTTCCCAAAGCTTCAACCATAACATTATCATCATTACCATTAACATCATCAATAATGATGTTGTTCAATGACTGATTTACATGCTGGCAGCTCTTATTATCACCCGCTTTCTTCTCTTTTTGGAGTGAATGTAAGATACAACACTGTTTTTGCCCTTCGGGTTTGACATGCAGGGCGACTCACTGATCTCTGACATCCTCCCGACGCGAAGGCTTCTCAGAATGCACGCTGCAGACTTGAGCCCCGTGGCAGTGCTGGGCCGTCTTCTGCTATCTTACCGTACGAAATGAAACGTGCTCCGGCGAAATTCAGTCAATATCTTGCTACATTATCCAACAACTGCAAATGACTTTGCGCCATGTTGAATTGGTTCTTCAGTGCGTGTCGGCACGTTTGCGATTGACCAGCAAGTGAACATGAGCAGTGAGTATTTGGCTCTCCTGCTTTCACCGCATGCTGATTTG